AAGTTCAGACTTCGCAAGTTTGATCAAGGCTGCTGTCTCTTCTTCTCAGTTTGATATGGAAAAGCAGACTATACCGAGGACACGCGTAAATCTTCAAAGGGAACAGTGTACTTTATAACTTCATTCACATTACCCTGGCTTCGTTGTTTCACTTTCTCAACAATAAAATGTAAACATGATATAAGGAACTGCCTATTTTCATTTTAATATTAGCAACTTAGACAGCAGAAATGTTGAGGCGTCGTGCTGCATAAGATGAGCGTCATCTTCACTGTGTGGATATTTATAACCAAACGGAGTTGATAACAACTGTCTCCTTTCAATTTCAGTGAAAATACGAAACACACCCTCTCTTTTGCTGAGTATCAGTTTTAATAATCGATAATGGCCATTATAAAAGTATAACATACAATAAGTTTATACATTATAGGAAATAAAGGCAAGCGATCAGTCAATATACAGAATAGGCTACGTGGTTACATTAATCATTAACTTATCTTTGCGCTCAGCCAAAACACGTTACCTGAGAACAAGTAATAGATTCCAATGCCCAAAGTCAGGGAATATGTCGTTAGATAAAGACAACAATATAAATGAAATATCCCGTTTAATAAATATAGTGAGATTAGATCCAGCGGGAGATGCTTGATGAGAAGTCCGACTAGCACAGCTCTCATCTGGGTAGATGGGCGCAGCGCTTGCCCGAGAGCGTCTCTGTGGTCACGTGATGTGCGTTTTCAGCGTTTTGGTGTGGACGGAGAGCAGTTCAGAAACGCTGGGTAAAACGCGAGTGTGGACGCGGATCGTTTTCATTCTAAAACGCCGTTTTAAAACTAAAACGTACTAGTGTAAACGGGGCCTAAGATGACATGTCAAACAGACATGGGTGCTCCTGCCAAATTTACACTAGTTTTTCCTCCATTTCTGGGGCCCAAATAAACTGAAAAGAAGCACTTTTAACTTCTCCCCCAACCTCCCGCTGGCCTGCAGATACCTATACGGATACTGCTCTCTCATTAGCTGTAGGTAATCGCCGATGTTACAGTGTTTAAAATCAGAACACATTTCACACGTCATGATTTGAATCACCAATAGCTCCAGATGTTTAGCATGCCAAATATCTCACGGGTGCTGCGACTCTTCAGCGATTCTCTCAGATCGTGTCTTTGATAGTTCACTCACGTGAACGAGCATCGATTTGCCTGTGATTTCAGCCATTTGATTTCTCAAAACCTCAAAAAATTGATGTGATTTCTCAAAACCTGTCGGCGAGTCAAAATTGGGGCTAAAATCATGCAGTTTGAACTCACCATAAATATAATTGCCAAAATGCACATAAAACACACAGAATATTTAATCTCAATACACCTACATGAAATGCAATGAATCGTTGAAATACATTCTTTTGTGCATGAAAAAGTCACATGACTGAAAATCATCATAGAGCATCTCAGAATTTGCTTAGACGTTCTGAAATTATCATTTACTCTTAATCTAAGTTAGCTGTAAGGTGATCTTATCTTGGGCTGGAAATGTTACTTTGTTTGCAATCAAAAGTGCATTTACATTAATGCTTTTTGTCCGATACTTCAATTCAGTTCATGACATCTCATAACTTTGTAAGCATCTTTAAATACTGATGAGTTTCAGAAATGCACATAAAAACTTTTCTCGTAACCAAGACCCTATCTTGTGATAATTTATGATTCATTTAGTCTTTTGTTGACACTAAAAGAGCAAAGTATTGCCAAATGATCATCAGACAGGTTGCAACACTGTCACATGCATCAATTATATGAAATAGGTGGATCTTGTGATTCAGAATCATTCAGCATGACTTGTCCACAATGTCTTCACTCAAAGCTGAGCAAAACGCAACATGCATAAAGAATCATTCTGTCATCTGATTTTCTTTTTGGATTTAGATCACTGAATTTAGATTCAAACCCATAACCTTTTGGTTACCATCACATTCTTTCATGCACTAGGCTACACCACCCTAATAAGCCATTTTTTAGGGTCTATAGAGGCCCCTTCTTCAGGCTAGCGTCTATGCACTTCATATGAAACGCATCCCTATGCAATTTCCTCATTTTGCTCTAATGACTTGACGGAGCTTGTGCTTATCTGACCGTTTGCTCCTAAAATAGAACTAATAGCCCATATATCTTGAACCTGCTCAGAGGCCAGTGGGTAAACCTACACTTTTATGAAATCCAATCAGTTTGGACTGGAATGATTGTTTTGTGTCAGTTAATCGCAGTTCAATGATCCTGTGCCCCTAAAGACGACGGGCCACAAGCGCCCGCTCTGTTCTTGCTCAGTCAAGGATTGTTCTGTTGATAGAGCTTCATTAGGACTGTTGAAGGTGTATGTTGGTGGGATGCAATAAGCTGCTTCGTCTCATTATTCTTCTCAGAGCTGCCCAGTTAAGGATGGCTAGTACTAAAACAAGGACTTCAAAGTGTTTGTCAGACTATTCAGGTGGTCAAGCCAGGTCTTGAGAAACACCCACAGACAATGGAAATATTTTGTTGAGAAGCTTCGGAGATTTAGTGTCTTATGAAAAGCAAGTGTGTCCATTTAAAGTAATCTTGTTATTAGAATGATTTGCTAAATGTGTCTGTTTATAGATCTACTGCTTTATATAGTCTCAATTCTGCTACACGTCAGCAATAAAAGATGTTAGTTTTATTTTCTTTTAAATAATAACTACATTATACATTTGAAACAAAACCTTTGTACAGCAATATAAATTTCACTACTACTTTGTATTAGTTTAATGCATTCTTACTTTAAGGTGCCCTATAATGAAAATCTAGGTATACCAAGGCATAGTAGAATAGTAAAAGTTCGGTATATGGACCGTATATGGGCATACTGTGAGCTTTAGACACCACTGTTTCCTTGTCTTCATGTAAATTATATGAGTGTAAAGGTCTGGTGGAAAACAGGCCAATCAGAGGACAAAACATGCCACAGCCATGTCACCCTGCAGCCCAAGACCGGTTACTCACTGAAGCTAAGCAGGGCTGAGCCTGGTCAGTACCTGGATGGGAGACCACTAGGGAACACTAGGTTGCTGTTGGAAGTGGTGTTAGTGAGGCCAGCAGGGGGCACTCAACCTGTGGTCTGTGTGAGTCTTAATGCCCCAGTAAAAGTGAAGGGGACACTACACTGTCAGTGGGTGCCGTCTTTCGGATGAGACGTTAAACCGAGGTCCTGACTCTCTGTGGTCGTTAAAAATCCCATGGCACTTCTCGTGAAAGAGCAGGGGTGTAACCCCGGTGTCCTGGACAAAGTGGCCAAATCATGGCCTCCCAATCATCCCTTTTCACAAAATTGGCTCGATCACTGTCTCTCCACTCCACCACTCCACTGGCGCCGTTGTCCTGTGGCAGCCGTCGCATCATCCAAGTGGATGCTGCACACTGGTGGTGGTGTGGAGAGACCCCCCTCATGATTGTAAAGCGCTTTGGGTGTATGGCCATACACAATAAATGCGCTATATAAATACACATTACATTACATTACATTACATTACAAAACAAACTGTGACAAGACTTAAGGGGCATGCCCTCCGCATTTGCATGTATGCCTACTTTAGGTCTTTCATCCAGACCTGATGAACAGCCACATCATCAAGAGAACACAACTCATATGCAGCTATGAGATCATAAAAACGCCCTGAAATCAATAATATGCATGTCTTAGGCTGTGTTTGATAAGCCAAATGTTTTCTAGTGACACAACATTGATATTTTTCCTCCTTTTATTTTGAAAACGTGAGCCCTAAATTGTTTGCTGTGCATTACTGGGCAACCACTTCACAAGAAATGTTCAAACTGGCTTCAGGCAAGATTTACAGATTATACTGTACATTTATTCATCTCCACGCTGAGGCATGAAGTATGTTTAGTTTAGCATTTGTTAATTTATCATGTTTGTAAAATTAATAAACACATGTAGACTGCTGAATTGTGTCAAATCACTCAGCTCAACTGTTATATATTCATGCAGAGGTTGGTATTAATTTCTGCCTGTGTTGTCTTTGACTGTAGTTTCAGAATACAAAGCAATAAATTACTATCACTCTCTTTTGTCAACTTTAATTATAATTTAGCCTTTATCCACAACAGATCTGGTGAGCAAAACAGGTAACGTTACTCTGATTGGGATTATATTTGTTTGTGTTTAACGTAAACCATGCTTTGTGTGTGTGTGTGTGTGTCTGTAAGAGCTGCACGTTAGAGCCAAGCTCATTAATATTCACAACACAAACTATATAGGTTCAATCATGGACTTTCTGATCTATTTTCTGGAGTAATAAATAAGCTTTTAAAACTGTTTCTGTTGAATATTTTTACTTTTTTTTTTTAACTTACCGAAACCATAAACCTATTATGTAGATACCAGAGAACCATTTTACTTAATAAACCAATGCAGTACATGACACATTTAATATATTTGCAAGTCTTTTTACCCACTATTAATATTGTTGCTTTAGATTAATTTTTAATATGATTAATACAAACATACACACATGTATAATAAGCATTATGAACAAGCATGTTGTCCTTTAAAGCAAGTCAACAAATATTAAATTCTTATATTTAGACATTTGATGACCACGCCAGAGAACAGAGAAAAAAGTGCTTCCTCTGAATACTGGCAGTTCAACACAAGGTTTTTGCTTGTGTTTTTGCTTGGTCTCTTGGGTATGGCCATCAAAACAAAACATCCCATGGATTTGTTCCCATGGCTACACCAAATATCTCCAAGTTTATTCTTGTCAGTACAATGGACTTTTCTTTTGAGTCCATGAAAAAGAAAAAGAAAGAACTAATGTGCATCAGTTTTTGTCAGGTGTTGAGAGTTCTGAAACCTAGTGAGTTGTCTTCTTAGCATGCTTTCTTCTAAGACAGCATTCCACCTGAGTGTAAACCTAATAATGTAAAATGTAAACTTATTAATGAATGTGTTTATTATTTATTTAACAGAGTGAACAGAGTCAGTCAAAATACTTTTCTAACTCTGGTGAGACGGCAAATCCATTACCAATCTCCACAGCTACAAAAAGAGCTGTCCTTCAGAAGATGTAAGTATTGTTTTTATATAGACTGTGGTTGGCCTTCATCATCTTATTTAACATTTCCTGATTCTTCCAGTGCCAGAAAGACAAAAATCCAGCCCCCACGATCGCAAGATAATCAAGAGTCCAAAACAGGACAATTTCAAGCAGACAATGCAGAGAAGGGCTCTAGATCTGTCCTTCAGAGGATGTACGTAAGCAATGTTGAGATATACCTTTTGTTGATCTATTTCATTTTTATTTAAGATTTGATTATTCTTTTAGAACTAGACAGGAAAATGTTCAACAGTTCCAAGATGATCAAGAGTCCAAATCAGGCCAATTTCAAGCAGACAATGCAGAGAAGGCGTATAGATCTGTCTTTCAGAGAATGTACTGTACAAAAGCACTGTTGAGATATGACTTGTGCTGATCTATTTCATTTTTGTTTAAAATGTCCCTATTGTTTCAGAACCAGACAGGCAAACGTCCAACCCCAACAGTGCCAAGATGACCAAGTGTACAAATCAGGCCAATTTCAAGCAGACAAACAAGAAAAAGGCTCTGGAGATGTCCTTCAGAAGATGTAAGAGTTGTTCTGAAGTAGATTGGGGTCATCCGTTGTAATCTTCAATTTTCAATCTTCAATTTTCAATATTTCCTCATTCCCCAAGTGCCAAGCAAATAAGTGTTAAACCCCAACATAGCCAAGATAATCAAAAAAAAAGATTTGACTTATGTTGATCTCTTTCATTTTCATTTAAAATGTCCTTGTTATTTCAGAACCAGACAGGCAAACATCCAACCCCAACAGTGCCAAGATGATCAAGAGTCCAAATCAGGCCAAGTTCAAGCAGACAAAGAGGAGAATGGGTCGGGAGATGTCCTACATAAGATGTAAGAGTTGTTCTGAAGTAGATTGGGGTCATCAATTGTGATTTTCACTTAATATTTCCTCATTCACTCAAGTGTTCCCATAAGTGTTAAACCCCAGCAATGACAAGATAATCAAGAGATGATACAGAGAAGGGGGTCAAGTGCTCTCTGTCAGATGATGTAAACATTGTTCTGAAGTACACCTTCATTTAACATTTCTTCATTCTTCCTGTATAAGTTCAGGCGACCATCTAAACCCAACACTCCCAAGATGATCAAGAATCTAAATCAGGCCAATTTCATGCAGACCAAGCAGAGAAGGGGTCTAAAACGCACCGTTATGATATAGCTTGTGGTCATCCACCTCATCTCAATTTAACATTTGATCATTCTTTCAAAGCCAAACAGACAAATGTTCAACCCTTACGATCACAAGATGATCAGGAGTCCAAATCAAGCTAATTTCCAGCAGACAAACAGGAGAATGGGTCAGGAGATGTCCTTCAGAAAATGTAAGAGTTGTTCTGAAGTAGATTGGGGTCATCCATTGTAATCTTCACTTAATATTTCCTCATTCCCCCAATGCCAAGCAGATAACTGTTAAACCTCAACAATGCCAAGATAATCAAGAGATGATACAGAGAAGGGGTCAAGTGCTCTCTGTCAGATGATGTAAACATTGTTCTGAAGTACACCTTCATTTAACATTTCTTCATTCTTTCAGTACAAGTTCAGGCAAACATCCAAACCCAACAATCCCAAAATGATCTAGAGTCCAAATCAGGCCAATTTCATGCAGACCAAGCCGAGAAGAGGTCTAGAATGCACTGTTGTGATATAGCTTGTGGTCATCCATCTCATTAACATTTAACATTTCATTATTCTTTCAGAGGCAATAAGACAAACATCCAACCCCCACAAACACAAGATGATCAAGAGTACAAATTAGGCCAATTTAAAGCAGACCAATCAGAGAAGGGATCTAGATCTGTCCTTGAGAAGATGTAAGCACTGTTCTGATTTAGCTTGTTGTGATCTATCCTCAACTTCATTCATTTCCTTAATATTTTCAAGTGCCAGACAGGCAAACATCCAATCCCTACATTCCCAAGATGATCAAGAGTTCAAACGAGGCCAATTTCATAGAGACCAAGCAGAGAATAGGTCTAGAGCACACTGTTGGGATATAGCTGGTGGTCATCCATCTCATCTTTATTTAACATTTTCTATTTTTTTTTCAGAGCCAAAGAGACAAACACCCAACCTCCACAATCCCAAGATGATCAAGAATTCAAATCAGGCCAATTTCCAGCAGGCGAATCAGAGAAGGGATCTAGATCTGTCCTTCAGGAGATGTAAGCGCTGTTCTGATTTAGCTTGTGGTCATCCATCTCTCATCTTCATTTAACATTTTCTTAATTTTTCCAGTGCCAGACAGGCAAACATCCAATCCCCACATTCCCAAGAAGATCAAGAGTTCAAATCAGGCCAATTTCAAGTAGCAGAGGAGTGTGTGGAAGCATGTCTCCCAGTCCCCATATCGGTCTCAAGCATTGAGTCATTGGTGGACGGGAAAGCATTGTCGTCATCTAAATTAAGTAACAATAAAGATGTCACCGAATCCTATCTTGACACCACCGGTCCAAGAAGACGCCCACGGGCCCCGAGTAGCTCAGGAGAGGACGCTGACCACCAAAAGACAAAAAGATTGCGACTTGGACAGTCTGCAGTGTCAAGCGATTCCAACAATCCCTCTTCCGGCTACGCCGCACCAGACTCTGTTTGCAGTCCCCAGCCTGAGATTTCACAGACTAACCAAAGCGGGCTGGCCACAAGTCTAAGAGGCCTATCCGTCAAGCCCGTATCCTCTGGGTCCTCTATTAGTTCCAGACCGGCCGCCAGAGAGGAAAGGAAGGGGGGTGAACCCAGAACATCCCGATTACGCCGGCTCAAGAAGTCCTGAGGGGTGCAGTGGCGTACAACGAGAGCGGATATCTGACGCCACCTCCATGGATCTTACAGTACACACTTCTACTGTAATGCTGTCTGTCAGCAGTAGTTGCACAAGAGTTCACCACACACAGCCTTTGCACATACAGTATTTCGCTTCTGCCTTCCAAGTAATAACACACACACACAAACTGCTTGTATTAGATTACAGAGAAGCTTTTAAAAGTTTGAATAAGTTCCACTAGCTTTGAAGCAACTCGTGCAAATCGTAACTTTGCTCTAAACAAAAACACAAATACAGTTTGCGCATTCTGCGTAAGAGTTGTATTTCAGACTAACGGGAGCCGCAGAGCACACTGTGGCTCCAAGCCCAAATCTCTGGCTCCATCCGTCTGAAATCTCCCCTCTTCCAGCTTCAGCTGAGCACATGATTGATTTCGCTGTGTTCTCACACACACCACGCTCTTTAAGCGATCAGGGCTTTTCACCGTTGGAGCCGACTGCCGTCTCTTTGCGGTTATTATTTGTAAATGTGTTATTGCTTTTCGTAACAGCTAAAAGTCTTCTGCGGGATGATTGACAACGTTGTGGAACGCTGCAGTGCCTCTCGCGTCCGATATTTGGCTAATCACGGGTGCAGTCGACATTGATGTAGTGTGTGATGGCAGGATGATTATACGTACGGACAGAAATGCTCACATGAGAGTCACATGCTCGGTTTTCCAATCGTACTTACAAATTACTTGATGTTTATGTCATTAGGATAATAGATATGTGTCATGAATATGTTATTAAAATCGATGAATATTGTTTCGTTATAGCACCATAACAATGCAGAGTTTACAGTTACTGTACAGTACTTTTTAAAGTAATTTTACTGTAAATTCTGTAATGAAAACCATTAAAGATGGAAATCGTTTGTTTGATTGAAATCGTCACTTGGTTCATGTTATCTGTTGTGCTGCCTCACATAATAATTCATATTTTACTACTACTTAAACAAGCAATGTGTATTATTTAGAAACCTATTTATTTATTATTGCCAATGTTTTTATGGCAGTACAGTATGCTGACAGTAAATAAAAGATGGAGATGGGATTGGGAAAAGTGCGTGAGTTGGGATGCCTCCAGCACAGTTGTGCTATATATTTCTATACGGCACACTGCCCTGTAGGCTATCAATGCTGAAGAAACGCATTTTTAGCACCACCGGTGGTCTTTTTGTGTACTGCAGCCAGAAAATTATTGCTTGTGCGTACATGTATGTTACACACAACAGATTAAACATGATTTATTGCCACTATATAATCAAGCTGAAGCTCTTTCTCATCTACTCGAGCACATCTAAAGACTTTCAGTGGGCATCAGGTCAAGTAATTGTCAACGTGTGAAAATGAAGCCTTGTTTCACAGTTTTGGCTCAATGAATCATTGCATTATAGCAATGAAAAATGACCATGGGATACATCTTCTGAGATGATTGTTTAAAAAAAGCCACACATTGAATCAGTTAGGGTTAAATAATAGTTGCCAGAAACAAATCACTGCAGCAACGGTCCAATACGACTCCAACAGACTCATCAGAAATTGCTTACATGAATCCAGTGTGGTATGAATATTAATTTCTAGTCAACTTTAAAAAAAAAAAAAGTTTATCCATAAATAAAAATGTCATTAACCCCTTAAACTCTGCTTATATGAATGCAAAATGAAACTCTGGAGTTTGAGTTGGGCGCTCATTTCAATACGATTACAGTGAATGGTGAATGAGGTTTCAAATGTTTAAAAATAGCACTATAGATTATTATATTCAATTCAAATAAAAGAAATATGAAGCTGTTGTTCAATGATAATCCTCTGATGCAACCAAATTGAGTCAGTCTGATTTATAAATCGTGTACACTCTGAATCACTGAAAAGATCTGACTCAAAACAATGATTCATCACAAATTGGACCAGTCAAGCTGGATGTCAATTTCACTTAAATTTCTCACGTTATCAGTTTAGAACACTTTGAAAATAGGGTAAGAGTTGAGAATCACTATTGTGATGCATATTCTTGAAATTTCCATTCCGCATTCATTGCACATTGAAAACAACTTAATTATTATTTTTTTGTGTTTAGTAAAGTAAAAACATGTACAAAACAACACAAAGTCAAGATAATAATGACAGAATTTACATAATAACTGACTGAAAATCATTGGGTAAACCCCTTTCGTTTACTCGCCACCCTTAGCTCTGCCTTTTGCCCTGCAGGCATGTTACTAAATACCTCATCCAGTCATCATATGAAGAAAGTATTTATGCGCCGACCGCAATCGACTACCATTTAAACCCATTTGTGCTTCAATAACATGACGTCAACGTCAGACAGATTTCATCTCCTCCCAAAGCAGGACAATGGCGCAAAGTCGAAAAAACAAACATTTAATCTTCCTTTTATACAAAATGTTTAATAAATATAACATTCAAAAAATATTGCCAGGAACAAACTAAAAAAAAAAAAAAAAATGAAAACAAATTTACAATAAGGTCAAATGTGAACATTGAATATTGCCATGATCTCATAGAATTGACAAATGTGATAAGCATGTCGGTTTGGTGTTTTAGAGAGCCTCGATATAAAAGAATTACGAAAAGAACACTACATGTGCACAGCAATAGAAATGGACTCCTGAAAGCAAGGCAGTCTACAGTGTTTCCATTGGCCCCCTACTGTTCAAGTATTCACAGCCTAGCTTATGACATACTGCAAACCCAAGCTGAAGAGAAATGATCCGTGTCAATCGGGTTTACCAACAAGCAACTAGAAGACTCGTGTTCCCTTTTATTGGAGACTTTTCAATCATTTATTTTTCAACCGTGGCAAGCAATGTGTCTGCCGTTAATTATCCCAACAAAAAGCAGCCATGTTTGTTGATATTACCTGCGTTGAGCAAGTAAGAGTTGGCAATATACACACAATGCATCCGGAAAGTATTCACAGCGCTTCACTTTTTCTACATTTTCTCATGTACAGCCTTATTCCAAAAGGGATTCAATTTATTTATTTCACACAATACCCCATAATGAAAAAAAAGATTTTGTGAAATTGTTGCAAATTTATTAAAAATAAGAATGCTGAAAAATCATAACTATTCACAGCTCAATACTTTGTTGATACACCTTTAGCAGCAATTTCAGCCTCCAAATCTTTTTGAATATGATGCCACAAGCTTGGCACACCTGTATTTAAGAATTTTTGCCCATTCTTCCTTGCATTACCTCTCAAGCTCTATTAGGTTGGATGGGAAGTGACAGTGTACAGCCATTTTCAGATCTCTACAGAGATGTTCAATAGGATTTAGGTCTGGGTTCTGGCTGGACCACTCAAGAACATTCATCAAGTTGTTGTGAAGCCACTCCACTGATATTTTGGCAGATGCCTTTTGGCAAATTCCAGGAAGGGAGTGGCTTCTGTTTGGCCACTCTACCATACAGGCCTGATTGGTGAATTGCTGCACAGATGGTTTTCCTTTTAAAAGGTTCTCCGCTCTCCACAGAAGAATGCTGGAGCTCAGACAGAGAGACCATCAGGGTTACTGATCACCTGCCTGACTAATGCCCCATTCACACAAGGCGTCAGCGTCAACGCTTCCCATTCACTTTGAACGTCAGCCAATCAGATCGCTGTATGCAAATACACCAGCTAGACAATGGTCTATTGCTGACTGAATTTCAGTGTCTGACGCTGCTATGACGATCGTTTCAGCCCCAACTTCAGATACTCCTTCAGTCAAGCGTTGATGCTGAAGCCCTGTGTGAATAGGGCGTAAGGCTCTTCTCCCCCGATCACTCAGCTTAGATGGCCGGCCAGCTCTAGGAATAGTCCTGGTGGTTCCAAACATCTCCCATTTACGGATGATGGAGGCCACTGTGCTCATTGGAACTTTCAGAGCAGCAGAAATCTTTCTGTAACCTTCCCCAGCCTTGAGAAAATCCTGTCTCGGAGGTCTACAGACAGTTCCTTTGTCTTAATGCTTGGTTTGTGCTTTGACATGCACTGTCAACCCTGGGATCTCATATAGACAGGTGTATGCCTTTTCAAATCATGTCCAATCAATTGAATTTACCACAGGTGAACTCCAATTAACCTGCTGAAACATCTCAAGAATGATCAGTGGACACAGAATGTACCTGACCTCAATTTAGAGCTTCACGGCAAAGGCTGTGAATACTTTTGTACATGTGATTTTTCAGGTTTTTAATTTAGCAGCAATTTCAAAAAATATTTTTTTCACATTGTCATTATGGGGTATTGTGTGTAGAATTTTGAAGAAACAAACAAATTTAATCCATTTTGGAATACAACTGTAACCAAGAAAAGTGCAAAAAGTGAAGCGCTATGAATACTTTCCGGATGCACTGTACAAAAGTTTTAAAATATTGAAATATCCGACAATGTATAAAAAGAAAAAATATATATTGTTGTGTCTTTTCATTCTAAAAATAAAAAATCGACTGCTTTTTGAAAATTTTGGTGTGAAACATGAAACAAATGTCGTCTGAACAAAGTTATAGGCTTACAAAGCTATCAAAACCTTCAAAACTAGACAGGACATATAAATAAAAAGGAATGATATTTTAAGGCTCTTGATTATTAAGTTAATAAATCAAATATACACAGTGATTAATTAAAAAAAATATACATATCTACACTAAATTGACACGATTCTTCATATTGGCAGCGAAATGCTAACCGACCTATCCCGCCCCAAGAAAAGAAAAATAATAAATAATTTTTTTGTTCTTTGATTTTTTTTTTTTAATATACTCCTTTCCGACAATTGCTGTGGTGCGTAGCTGTGAAGGCACTTTCAGTTCAGAACTAGAAATAAAACCAACTAGAGAGAGTTTCCGCACAGCCGCTGGATAAGGAAGAAACAACTACTTTAGCTGTGAGAGCACTGTCATTATGAACAAAAATAACACTATTTGCAAACTTACTGAGATACTCAAACGTATCCACGAAAATATAAACATTTGAAATGTGTACGTTTTCTTTTTTTACTGTTTTTTCTTTTTGTGTCTCTTTTACGAAGGAAAACACTGGATGCGAAACGCAGCGTATGGGTTTTCCAGCCGTCCACAGCGACTATTGATTGCCAGTGTGAAGCCAGCTTGTCAAAACTTAAATTAACACAGGGCAAATAACAGCCTTGGAGTCCAGAACACAACGCAACAGTTTTCAGAAGCACAACCCTGCCATGTGACCGGTAAGTGCAACAGGGGCAACACAGCTGCCTGCTATACGATATACTCCATCCTGTTTAAGCTCTGTGCCGTCTCCAAGTCTCTGTTGTCCTGTTTGTTAGTCCAGTTTGGGTTTTTGTTTGGCGCGCGCTCTTCTCGCTCCACCAGCGTGTAGGCCGGCTGCTTGGTGAAGCGCGCTTTCTGCAGGTGTTTGTCCATGTCCTCTTCCTCCACCTCAGAGTTATGCGTCCTAATTTTGGCAATGATGGAGTTCTTGCCCTCGTAGTCTTTTATGGGCACGCCGTGAGCTGCGTGCTTCTCGATGGGGTTTTTGATCTGGTTGAGCTGCTCACGCACGTTATTGGTGGTATTGTCCTCTGTGGCTGAGGTAGCAGTGTTGCTGTGGGTGTTTTGTTTCCGGCGCCGGTGGATGCACCACAGGAAAGCCGAGGCCAGAGCGAAGATCCAGAGCACGATGAAGATGGAGCTCAGCAAAGGAACCAGGTAGTCTGGGGGAGAACAAGCACAAGGACAGTCAGGATTTGACAGAAATAAAAAGAGAAAATATTTTGGCCGTTCATTAAATTCAGGTGGCCTGGAAACAAACATGACATTTGGGTCACACTTTATTTTGAGGGCCCGTTGGAAGTTACATTGCATCTACATGCCAACTAATTCTCATTAGATTATAAGTAGACTGTTTGGTTGGGGTTAGTGTAAGTTTACATGTACTTGCAATGTTTCTTATAGTCAGTTAAATGTCTGTTGAAGGAGCTGTATCAGCAAATATTAAGCAGCCAGTCTACTAATACTCAAATGTTCCATCAAAATAAAGTGTTACAGAAATTGAAATGGCCGAATGTGCCATTCAGATCCAATGTGTCTTTGCTTTAAAAATGCGCTAAGAAATGGTTTGAAAAATGTTTGCAGTGATTGTTCTGCTTTTGAGTTTTTTCTTATTATTATAACCTTTATTTTACCAGGAAAAGCACATTGACATTTAAAATCTATTTAACAAGAGCCTCCTGGCCAAAATTAGGCAGTATACAGTTCACATGGGTTTAACAAACAAAAACAAATAACAGGTGACATCATTCATCCATCAAAACACACATATAATGATAGTTAAAAGCTATTCAGTACATCTACGGGTTGTTTCAAACTCTAAATCATTTAAATCTTTTTAAAAGCATGTAGTGAAACCAACTTTTTAAAATGCAACTTTGTTTGGAAGTTATTCTATGCCTTCTTCTGATTGGTCTATTGCTTTGGAACTGATATTGATGAGCAGTGCTGCATGTGAAAGTTGAATTTCTTTTAACTTCACACAGTGTCTATGTGAGACTGTCTGTGTGAGAACTCGATTATTATCGATCAAAGATATCCATCAAGCATGTGTTTACATTGAAAAACAATTGAAAAGTAGCGCATTGGAAAGGAGAAACACATTCTGTGTGAACTGCCCCTTAAAATGCACTTTTGAAAAGGATACTGTGATCATCTCTATGATTTAATGAAAATGGTGATGTAATGTGCATAGTACTGTATGGTGTAGCGCTGCTGGGTTTACTTGGGTTCAGTTCACCTTCATCTCTGGATCCTTCTTGCTCAGCTTGATTTGCATTTCTATTGCAGGTTAGTACTTTTTCAAGTGGGTGGGATTTTCGCTATAGTTGCGTCACCTCTACTGCCATGACATCATTAGAAATGATGAAATAATGATGACAAATGATTAACACAAACCAACCAGGTTCTGTGTGTCATGTTGTAAATCTAATGAAGCAGGTTGTGATGTCTCTTTTGAACCAATCAATGACCAGTCTTGTGTGTAGGTCACATTTTGGCTTGCTAAAAACTACAAAAAATAAACAATTAAATCAGCTACTAGGTACAGAATGCAGTGGAAAAGCACCTGAAAGTGAGCTGTACTGAACTAAATCCCGCTGTACCATGCAGTGGAAAAGCACCTATAGTGTTTTTTTACAGAGAGATATGGCCAACTACTGGCCTGGCATGCATATTCAGCAATTCTAGCTGTTTTTGTAGATCTTTTTGAATGGGGATAATTTAACCACATTATTGTCCATTTTTAATGTTGGATGTTGGTTGTTTCTGGTTTGGAAAATTGTTTGTCATTTTCAAGAAAAGTTTGACCTATCCACTCACAAAAATGTCTTGTGGTGTAACCATTGAGCATTACATACTTAAATATCAGTTATAATTATAATTTTTTGCTTGCACCTCAGGAAATGTACAAATTCTGTGATAATTTGCAGACCTTGGCAATCAAGACAGTCTGTTATATCTTTAGCATAACTTTTATTATTTATATAGCAACTTTGGTTGTTGGCTAGTTTTTTTTTATATAATTTTTTTAAATCATTAAATATATTCCTGGAGAACATGCTAGAGAGATCACATAGGCTGATAGAAATGTAAATAATTTGAATGCAGTGCTAGTCACTTTGAATTAAAGGAACAAATAAGTGATGTAAAACCACACAAGTTTTTTTTCTGTCATTTTTATTGTATAAAAACAAAATCTAAACTAATTTTAAATCAGTGTTTGAAAGCTAATATATAACTTATATGGATGAATGCTGTTTTTATGCATTCAGTTTGATCAATGAATCATGCTATTGGCCTGCATTTAGACAGCAAGGGAATCTTTTAAAATCTCTTAAAAAGACCCAAAGCTTGTTTTATTCCTATTTACTGCTGTCTGTAAGCGCATTGGAAACAGAAAACCCTGGAGTTTGAACAGAAGCAAAGTTGGAAAAAATAATCCTAACATCAATTTAACAGAACAATTTCCTATTTTGGACAAGACATATACCCTGTTTATACCTACTCCCCTGGCCCAATCTACAGAGGCTGGCACACATCTTATAAAGGTTTCTTACGTTAGGAAGAAACTAAGCAGCTTGGCAGAAACATTGGACGCCATTTTTGATGAACGGCATTCATAAAGAGGGCCCTGATGTCTAACTGAAGTTCCATCCAACTGGCAGAGCTGATATAACATTCCAGAGCTTCAATGACTTAAAGCTTCTTTTGACAGTTAAACATCGCTCAAGCAAGACAGACCAAGGACATACAGTTCAACACAACTGGCCCAGACTCTGGAAACCTTAATGCATTGATTTTTGGCTGCATTTTGCAAAGATGGACCCAAATGTGTGCTACCTACCAGTTTTGGGGCTTGGTATCTGATGAACCCGTACGCCGGTGATGGCTTTAATGATGGTGCTGTTTCCATTATGCTTGCTCACCAAGTCAATGATTTGAACCGTTATGTCTTTAATAGGACTCCTGTCTGTCCTGGGCTCCTCTGTGGACTGTACAAAAAATAAACACATAAATATCACACTGTATGCTCTTTTTTCCTTTTTCTAAAGATAATTGGAAGTTTCAACTGTTTTAATCCATAAAATGGTCTTTGTGCAAACAATTAGGGACCACATTGACTGTCAATAAGATTTTTAAAAGTATTGCAATTATTATTTTTTCTTTGACAAATTCTGCGTTTCTTAAGATAGTTTCAATCATTTTTGGACTGGTTTTGTCCTTAAAGTTGAGTCAGTGGGGTCCAAAACAAACACTAACTGTCAGTGTTTGGACAGAAGGAAATTGGCGACCCCATTGACTGTCAATTTTTGGACACAATCTATTCAGGCAGAACATCTCTGGACTCTTCTGACTCAATGGATGGACTAAAAAACACTTTCTATGGTGTTCCAAAAAGAAAAGGGAGTCATGCAGCCTTGAAACAATATCATAAAATGACCAATCCTGTCAAAAACTGAGTGTCTACCTACATGAGAATAGCTGCAACCTAAAAGGCCTAAAACACCTAAACCAACTGATCCAGTCCTCCAGAGAAACTTCCTTCCATTCATTCTGGTGTTTTGGAAATAAAGCTAGCACACCAGTAGTGTCATTAAGGCTGGTTTATACTTTTGCGTCGAGTGATCGCTGTGACTCACGGCACCTACCCTGCACGTAGCCATGCATTTATACTTCTGCATGTTTGTGTTGCTCTGCAATAACCCTTCCGAAACGCTAGCTGGCAGTAGGTTTTTGTGTTTTTTTGTGTTGAGTTTCTTCATAGGTGTTTTGCTTTTTTTGATAGCTACCTTAGTACAAGTAGCTAAAACTCGCTTATTTAGAGGCGGGAAGACGCGGATGTGCAACAACTTTAATCATAAAGTGAGCACAAAACAATAGTTTCCATCTGGAGCTCCTTCACGAAACTCGAAACTTGTAAACACTGGCTCCATCGGGCTCACGGCTCTCAGCACCGCCCACAAACGTCACAGCCATTAAGCCGACCAATCACAGAGCTTGCGCTACGCATCGTTGCCATATGTAGTTATATTTTTCAAGAGGTCTGCGTCGACCATGGTGAGGGCTATGTGACCGCATGAAGACTGCGCCGGACCATACGCATTTGCTTGATGCAGAAGTATAAATCAGCTTTTAAATGCAATGTTAGACACATATAAACTTGCAGAAAAGCCATACTTACAATGCTGATGTGGATCTCATTGCTGGCTGAAGAAGATGGCTCACAGCTGATGGACACCGCGTATTCTGTCGAGAGGTTCTTCAGCAGGTACCAGTGCCTCAGTTCATTACATACATGTTCCACACTCAAGCCCTGTCAGAACACAAAGATCTTTTATAAGTTTGTTCATATTTAAACCCATTCCAACTTAACATATTAGTGCAATATTCATCTAAATCCCCCAAATGGCTCCTCGGTTTTTAGGTTTGTCTTACATAGCAATGTGTGGGCAGGAAGAAAAAAATATTTAGTCAGTAGGGAGAAACTAAAAGAGAAAACGATGGCTTCCCCTGTCAAATATCAATCCAAGACACACCCCCACCTTATGAGAAGAAGTTACGCATATATTTTTAATGGCTGTCGCAGACTTTTGTTGCACTGGCTTGTCTCTTGTTCAGCAGTTCGGGCTGGCTGGTGGGCAGTCGCCAGCGGTGTTTCTCTGCTCTCATACAATGACTGCCTAAGTATTAAACCGTTACGGGATATTAGCTCAGGAATGCCTTGGTTCGGAAAGGGATACAGAGCCAGGGCTTATTGTACAAGATGTATTTCTTGTGCTTTTTTTTCACCCAAAGAAAAAGTGTTTGGATATGACAACAAAGCTTGCGAGATATCCAACTAGCCTGGAAAACTTCACCCATGAGGAACGTTGTCTCCTAGACGAAGAGAACCTGATCTTTCACGCCCCACCACGCTCTCGGTTCTCCAACGAATTAGAGAAGGGTGGAGGAGGCATATGGAGAAGGGGGGAAACAGCTCAAAAGCTCATAATTCAAATGCTGGACTCTGAAAGTATGACTCACTTGAGGCATGTTCTCCTTGTTAAAGGTGAACGTGATGTTGGCACAGCTGTCGTCCTGGTAAGAGAAGCTGGCGTGGCATTTAGAGGGTGGAGGGGGTGCAGAGGGCCAACACTCTCCTAGACTGGGACAGGGCTTGACAAAGCACTGCTCTTCCTTGATGGGAACACAAGATTGGCTTGCAGGACATCCACCTCTGGCCTTTCCTGTGCGACATGACTTTGGTCCACACCACATCTAAACCGAAAAAAAAGTAGTTTTAATTAAGAGAAATGTTACTAAATGCCTCAGGAATATGATGAAGTGTCAGCTATGTACCATTGTGCAATGAATCCTTCCATTTTGGCACTGACAAATGTTGCAGTCTTCTTCCCATTTGGCACCATCGGCAGTTACTTGTCCATTAGCAATGCAGGGTCTCCCTACAACTGAATGACAAAAAAGAAGATCGTGATGTGGCAAGGAAGGGTTTGGTCTGGTTTAGCAATAGCAAGCTATTTGTTTTCAGACAACATGCACATTTTCAGTTTGTAAGCATGTGTACGTATAAAATACAGTGGTCCCTTGCTATAACAATTGTTTGTGTTCTGCGTCCTGATTAATGCATTGTGTTCTCAGAGAATATGCAGGAATCCTAAAGGTGATTTCAATACCTTTTTTAAGACTTAAAAAGAAGATCTTTAAAGACCTTCTAAGAATATTTTAAGACCATTTCAAGTTTCAATCAGTATTAAACCTTTACCTTAATAAACAGTTGTAGTTTAATACATCAATGGAGCACAACCATGCAACAGAACTCAGATAAGCTCAGAAGAAACGATGCTCGAAAGAATAAGTTACTCGGTTGTTTTCAGCAAAAGGCTTCAGCCACTGTTTAAACTCGTCTTCCTCCAACCAGGAATACGCAAACTTACATTTTCCCATTTTTGCCATCTGTTTCTCTCTATGGTTTTGCTACATGTGGAGAGCGTCACTTCGCCTTCTCGTGTTTGTTGCAAATTACGTGACATCAGCTTGGCCGGACTTGCCCCGGCCTGATCCAATTGTGCGAATCGAGCACGCCGTTATTAATATTAAGAGGAAAATAAACATATTTATGCTTTTTTATATGCTTTGGACAACGCTTGAACAAAAGTGAAGACCTAGTAAAAACGCGATTAAGACTTTTTAATACCTTTTAAGGGCCTTCATTTTCTCAAATTTGATTTTTCAGCTTTTAATACTTTTTAAGACCCAGCGGACAACCTGGTTCTATGTCCTGACTGGCTGTAGACCACTGTCAATAAATCTCCTTTGTGCCCTGTCTCCTGTACAGTTCAGAATGTGTTTATCTTCGATCGCTAGCAGTGTGACTCTGAAGTGCTGTACTGTATGTTTGGAAGATTGACGAAATGTTCTGCACCGTCAAAGTCACCTGCGGTAGCACCTTAAAGGCAAAGGAAGATGCTAACCGTCGCAAAAAAGTTTTACTGTTCTGGACATGCTAAAGGAAGGTAGAAGTTATGCAGTTTTAGGGCACTATTACGAAATAAATAAACGAAGATCAAATGGTTTTACTCTATAATACTGGACTTATTTTTCTACAAAGAACTTTGAGAGTGTTTAAACAAGAGAGTAAAGTGTAAATATATAATCTCTGTCTGAGAAAAGTGTATAAAGTGTGTAGTGAGGGGTTTTACAGCCTTAAAACATCTATAATTGTAAAAAATAAAGCTGACTACTACACGGATTTAACCTATTGTGAGTTATTTTATCAACCCGAATATCGAGGGACCACTGTGTAATATTGGCGATTTACAGGATTGCATCTGCACGGGCTATTTACAAAGTGACATTGCCACCTACAGGCCTGGCATGCATAATACAGCTTTATTTTAGTAGCTTCCATGGATCCATTGTAAAAAAAGTAACCCAAGTCTTGTTCTTTTTAACAATACATTGTGGTCTCCTGGGGTTGTAGATGAGGTTTGTGGGGTTATGCTGAGCGTGGCCTGTTTACAAAAAGAGAGCCTCACCTTCCTGACAATCCGGTCCTATTCTTCCAGGTGGACAAAGACATCGGTAACCATTGATTTCATCAACACAGGTAGAGCCAAATGCGCAGGGAGAAGACTGACACTCATTTATATCTGAAGGAATGAAGAAAATCTTTTAGGAAGCATGCAAGGAACACACAAGCAACGGATATAGTCTTGTTTCCCATTATATATATTTATTGATTTACCTAATAAACAAAACTGCTTGAGATATTAAAGACTTGTTCGTCAAGAATGTCTTTTTAATTAAGATGCTAAGTACATTGTTTTTCCATGTCATGCAATGTTGGCAAAGCTCCAAAAGAGATCATCCTGACTGAAGTTCAATCGCTCTTTGCTGATGGACTATATCATGTTGAGCTCAGCTGACAGTAATGCCATGAGCTCATTTACAGGTTTTGATGCATCAAACAGTAAAGCCTGAGGTATGGCTCGCGCAGCCAGATGAAAGCTTTTAAAAGAGAAAAATGAGCTCTTTAATCAGTGCTGGATAACCAGGCTGATTGGCTTTCGGTCACTGTGGGTCAGTTTGTCCCGAGGGGCTGTGAACATCAGCGCTGCAGAATGTGAGGACACTGCTTGCTGTGTTGTTGGCATTGTGCCCAGAGGGTTGGCTAATTGGGTGGCTAGACCGTGCGTTTTGCTCCAGCTCTGTTTGTTTTTGAAGAAATGTGTTGCACATTAACAGTGCTGACAGGCAAGAGAATCAGGCGAATCAAATACTCACTTATGCGACAGTCTGGTCCGGCAAATCCTGGAGCGCACTCGCAACGGTACCAGTTTTCACCATCCACACATGTCCCACTGTTGTAACTGTTGAGAGAGAAAAATGGAGGGTCAATGCAGATGCAGTTCAATTCAGCCATCATTGCAGCTTTACAAAAGAAACAGTCACAAAGCACCAAAGAACCTTAAATGTCATATTGAGGTACTGTATACTGTATAAAAACTCATAGTGAGCAAGGTTTGAGTTCCGTCAACTAAAGTGGTAAAACGTCAATATTTACTATAATTTTTATTATACAATTATTATAATTTTTATTTTTAAATAAATGAATTATATTAATTTAAAAAATCTAAAAATCATTAAACGTCAACTACAATAAACAACAATACAATAAAATTACAATATATAATACAATAATATAAGGAAAAATATAGTTGTATATAAAACAATAAAAATAATACAACATAAATCAAAGTTTAAATAAAATAATTTAAAAGTGTTTATATACAATATATAAATTTAAAATGGAAAATTTTGTAAAATTAATTTTTGTTAATATGTAAAAATTATTTACCCCCATTACATAATAAATAAACGAAGATCAAATGGTTTCATTCTATAATAGTGAACTTAATTTTCTACAAAGGTTAGAACTTTAAGAGTGTTTAAACATGAGAGAAAAGTGTGAAAATGTTAATGCCTGTCTGGGAAAAGTGTATAAAGTGTGTAGTGATGGGTTTTACAGCCATAAAAACATAACGCTAGAATGTAACTCCCACAAATAACGAGAGACCACTGTATAACATTGCCGATTTACAGGACTGTATGTGCACAGGTGCGTTTTTCTATGTACAAATTGACATTGCCACCTACAGGCCTGGCATGTATAATACAGTTTTTTTTTGTAGCTAAAAAACCCCACAACCACCAACATATATTACAATAAAAGAAGCAGTAATTGTAATTGTAAATGTTCTCCAAAATACATTATTTTATTAAAAACTTATGGAAAGCTTCAAAGAAAACCTGTCTGGTAACAAAACATCTGTTGCAGCTTGCAGGTTTTTGAACAGCTATGTGAACGGGTAAATCTAGTCAATTCACATGATATTGGCCAGTGTTTAGCACATTTTGGCCTTTGATTCCAAATGAACCCATGCTTAAACTGTTGTCTCTCAATATGTTATTGTACACTCAGAATATCTTGCTCAGACAACTTCTGGAGCAGATGAACCTGATGTCAGAAGCACAATAGGCAGCGAGCTTAACGCACCCTTGGAATGACAGAAGCAATGGGAGTGTCTGTTTCCCAGGACTGAGAGAGAGTGTGAGAAAGTGCGGCACAGCTGTACAGGCCTGTTTACAACAGCAAGATCTGTGTGCGTAAATGTTTTGCCAGGACTTACCAAGGGTGTGGGTTGCAGTCGTTGGTATCTAAAAGAGAGAGAGAGAATAAGAGTGAGGTTTGTTTCACTTCACACCCATGTGAGCATAAGAACGAACACAACAGTGAACATGTCAGAGCTTGTGTCGGTGTGCGATTGTGCGTCTGCGTGCTCGGCTTGGCACGGGCACTAACTGACTCGCCGTCTCCAGCTTTTCTTTGGACTCCAGGTTTCTTCTTTGGTGCAAAACAATACATGTGAAAGGCACATCAAGGGGGAAACAAAAAAGAGAAGAGAGGTAGTGGGCTTGTGGAAGAGGGGGGGACATCTGTCTCCACTTTCCCTCATTTACATTTTTTCCTTCATAGCTGGCAGCAGTCAACAATGTCCAGCCAGGGCGAGGTGGGTTTAGAGAAAGAATGGAAAAGAACGAGCAAGACAAAAGCCAGGAAAATGGATCCTTGCTTTATTCTCAGACTATTTCAGTGTTGATGTCACTGTAAGTTAGTGATGCATGTTTTTATTGGATCATTTAATAAATCAGTCAATAATTGCTTGAAATGTAAATATCGGTATCAGTATCAAACTGGTCTTGCTGATGCTGAGGTGTTGATCGTGTGCCAGGAGTTCTAGCATAATAGTTTAGGGATGCACAATATTATTGTAACATTTGATATATCGGCCGATAATTGCTTGAAAACTAAATATCAGTATCAGTCTTGCCTTCCCGATGACATGTGATGTTTATGAGCCTGCAGCAACTGAATCGTCTGCCCACAGTTCTATCATGGTAGTGTAAGGATTAGAGATGCGCGGTTGGCGGTTATAGCCGCGGACTCCGCGGATAAACCGCGGATCGGGCGGATGACGTTACGAAAAAATTATATTTTAATTAAATTCGGGCGGGTGGCGGGCGGTTGTACTGTTTTTATATACATAGCTGGCGCACCAACGAAAAAGCCTAGGACTGACTTCACAGAATGGGAGGAGGAATTGGATACACTAATTCTGGATGAAGTGTACAGAAGTATTCCTCTACAAACTTCCGTATAGACGGATATTCAGAGCAAAATCTACTTTCCTTTTGGGAGAAATAAGGCAGACATTCCCACGACTACAGCACCTTTCCAAGAGAATTCTATGCATTTCAGCAACAAGTGCTGCGAGCGAGCGCTCCTTCAGTGCAGCAGGGCGCATTATAGTGGCTATGCAGGCGCTCCCGTCTGAATCCTGACACAGATGCTATTTTATTCCTGCATTGTGCCAAGAAAAAAATCGAACTAGACCTAAGGTCAGGCATATTAAACCAATTAGCCTATGTTATTTAGGCTACACATATGTTCAATATAAACTTTTGAGTTCGGTCAGCTGATAATTTTACGTTCATATTGGTTTAGCCTATTCTATTCTAGACATGTTGGCCGCGCTTTTACGTTCCGAGGCTAAGGTTATTTTGCCAGAATTTCTTTGTCGCAACTTTAATGGCGTAGTATTTCGTTATGCTTCAAGTTTGAGGGGAATGGGGATAATCCTAAGTCTATGGGTTATTGGGGCACTTGTCATACATGCACTTTAGCCTGGTCAGACTTTATGTTCGCTCAAAGAGGGATGGCATATCTATTTTTCTAATTTAATTTCTAATTGTGGGGGTGACTGAGCCTACAAGGCTTAGGCACGATATGACGTTTTTATTAAAACATTTTCAACTGTTTGCCAAAGCATGCGACTATAGCCTATGCCTACATTAAGATATTTATGTTAATATTTTTTTTTACTGCCTGTTGTTTCTTTTGGCATATAAAATAGGTATTGTCTGATAGAGATATCAATAAAGGTTTATCTGTGTCGCAGAACTGTGTTGTTTCCGATTTCTACAAGCTCAATAACATCCACAGCCAAAAATAAAAAATAGTCGAAAAACTACAAGCAGGTACGTTTTTGGGGTTGCTATGGACAACTACAAATGTAAACATTATTAGGCTATAATGTAAATGACTTATTATTCTATCTATTTACTAAAAAATAAAGTGAAATAGGCATTTATTAGTAGGCTAAATAGCAGCATGTTGAAATGATGTGTCAATGCGTTTTCTATTAGGCTACAATAAAAAAAAAGTTGTACAGTACAGTGCGTTTAATTTAGGCTATTTATTTATTTTTGTCCCTGTGCGCCGATTGGAGACAGAGTTCACTGCTGATATTCTGAGAGCTTTATAGGGGTGCTTCTCATTTCTTATTTGTGCATCCTCGTTACCTTTCCTTGCTTTTTTTCCTCGTGTTTCCACGCCACCGGGATAACTTTACGAGGGAAGGACGCAAGGAAAAGACTGAAGGACCGAGGAATCGAATCAAGTGAAAAGACACGTCCTCGTATCTTTAGCGTAACTTCAAAGCATCGTCAATTAATGACTTGCACGTTTGGATTAACTGCATGTCTACATTAAAGTCATTCTCTATTATATAATGATTAATAAAGAAACATTCATTTAATAAAAAAGGAATAAGCCATTCAAATAAAGAGCCCAATCAGCAGATGGCGGGCGGGTGCGGTTTTAAAAATTGGTCAAAAATGTTAGTGCGGATGGATGGCGGACGGATGATGAATTTCGTCATGCGGTTGCGGATGAAATAATAGCCCATCCGCGCATCTCTAGTAAGGATGCATAATATTATTTTAATGTTTGACATTGTCCAATAATCACTTAAAATCTTACATCAGTATTGGTCTGGCTGATAAGATAGGCTGATTATGAGCCTGCAAAAACTTACTTGCCAGCCAAAAGTGCAAGCATGGTAGTCTAGGGATGCACAATGCTATTGTAACATTTGCTATATCGGCCGATAATTGCTTGATCTAAATATTGTTATTGGTATCAGCCGTGCCTTGCCAATAAGATGCGTTGATTATGAGCTTGCAGCAACTTACTTGTCTGCCAATAATGCTAGCATGTCACCTATGGGTGCACAATATTATTGTAACGATTGATTTATAAATTAAATCAACCGATAATCGTTTGAAATCTAAATATCAGTATTGGTATTGGCCTTGCCAATAAGATGTGTTGATTATGAGCCTGCAGAAACTTACTTGTCTGCCAAGAGTGCATGCATGGTAATCTAGGGATGCACAATATGATAGTAACGTTTGATATATCAACCGATAATCTCATGAAATGTAAATATCGGTATCTGCTTTGTCTTGCCGATGTGATGTGTTCATCATGAGACTGCAGCAACTTACTTGTCTGTCAGGACTCAGGATATGTATATATTGAAATGTATATATCCGTATGGATCCGATAAGATAATTATGTTGATATGCCTTGCCAATAAGATGATCTATTAATAATAAGTGTGTAGTAACTGAATTACCTGATATAAATGCTAGCGATACCATAAGGTCAGCAGTCTGCTCATTCTTGGTGAATACTGCCTGCATGGTGATTTAGATTCACTGTTTCAGACTGCTGACTTAAAATTATAAAAAACGGTGTACAATATCCATCATTAAGTTATTTAATAAGTGTCAATAGTCTAGCGTGCGCAGCCACCTCTTTAGATCCTAATGCTTGAACGGTAAAAAGGTGATGTAAGCATTAGGCTAGCAAAACATGTCAAATGCACATTCAAATAACATGAAATTGTCATAAACGCATGAGTCTGACCTGATTTATTGTCAGAACGGAGACTCTAGTTTCTTTAAATCTATATTTTGGCTTATTGGAAATCAGCAAAAATCCAATATTGTGCATCTCTTATAAAAATCCACTTATGTACTCACTCTCAGTGCAGGTGGATCCTTCCCAGCCTTCCTTGCAGACGCAGTTGAAGGAGTCGCCGTTGACCACACAGGTGCCTCCGTTCTCACACGGGTTGGGCAAACAGCTGCTGTTCTTGGCTGAAGAGTAACCACAAAAGAGGTCAGAACCCTTTGAACTGAACAGATCAACAAGACAGCGACCACAACAAGACTGCCACACTTAAAACATCTTGAAGTGATACCAAGTATAACATTTCCCAAAGCCCGTTCCAACTCAACTTTTCCCATCAAAGAACTGGAGCAGGCAGATATGATATTTTCTGCATCGCACACAAAAGAATACCCATTCCAAGATGTGAATAGGTCCTTTGACAGATTGTGCTGTTTGAAGGAAATTAGGGCCAAAACAGTGAAAGAGAGTGATGGGTTTGGTTTGAAAGCTAGAATGACTGAGTTAGAAATATTGCAGAGCAATGGGTACTTTCATATGAGAACTATGTACTTTTAAAGTGTTGCACCAACCTGATTTCACATTTTTCTGGAATACCATTTATGTTGATCCTGGAACAACATTGCAATCAGCCAACCAGAGTTAAGAGATATGTTTACCGTTTATGTAAAATTTAGGATTACGGTTAGGTTTAACAACTTCTACATGATTGTTATCCAACTATTCTCCTCTGTTTTTGGGTATAATTTACAGTTGTAGTTGGGATTAGGGGTAGGGAATAGCTTTGGATTACATTTTCCAACAAAAATGATGTTCCAGGATCAACATAGATGTGAATCCAGGATCACCTCGTGCTTGGCAAAATCCTGACGTGACGTTTTTTATAAGTGCTTCATAAAGATAATAGTGCTATAGTTAAATTGACCAACGAATTCACAAATATGACTAATAATGCTGCATTATGCATGTCAGACCAAAATTGGTAGTGATATTTAGCAAATTCAGAATCAAAAACAGCCTTTGTTATTTTGGTTGAACCATAGTCTGTATACAGTTTAAGTCAGAATTATTAACTCACTGAATTATTAGCGCCCCTGTTTATTTTTTTCCCCAATTTCTGTTTAACGAAGAGAAGATTTTTTTTCATAACATTTTTTAAACAATAGTTTTAATAATTCATTTCTAATAACTGATTTATTATACCTTTGCCATGATGATAATAAATAATATTTGACTATATATATTTTTAAGACACTTTTATACAGCTTAAAGTGACATTTAAAGGCTTAACTAGATTAATAAGGTTAACAGGGCATGTTATGGTAATTAGGCAATTTTTGTATAACAATGGTTTGTTCTGTAGACTATTAAAAATATATAGCTTTAAGGGGCTAATAATTTTGACCTTAAAATTGTTTAAAAAAATTAAAAACTGATTTTATTCTAGCAAAAATAAAACAAATAAAACTTTCACCAAAAGAAAAAATATTTTCAAACATACTGTAAACATTTCCTTGCTCTATTAAACATCATTTAGGAAATATTTAGAAAAGAGAAAATATTCAAAGGTGGTGAGCTAATTCTGACTTCAACTGTATGTAAAACACATGAGAATCACATCAGCATGTTACAAAATCACATTTATGCAGTTTATACACAGATGATTATGATGATTTTTTCAAAAGTAGTTTTTTCAGCCCTACAAAACACATGCAACTTTTATATATATATATATATATATATATATATATATATATATATATATATATATATATATATATATATATATATATATATACAACAATATTTATACGCACTACTCACAATACTACATATAGCTATTATATGATATTATAAAATAATATTTGGCTACAGTACAAGAAAAAAATATTGTCTAATATCATACTTGCTATATTTTATTATTTTATTTATATTTAAATCATAATAATACCACAATTTTTCTTTGTAAACTGCTTTTCTGTAAAATCTAAACTGCAGTATTCACATTAAGAGAGAGCTACTTCACAAAATAATCAAATGTGAGGTTTGTTGTTTGTATGTTGAGCATTGTAAAGTTTGAAAATGTCTTTGATACGAGTTAACTTGCATTCCAAAATAATTTGCAGCTTGTATTTTGGCGGCTTCTTTAAAACGGTGTGTTAAATGCATTTTCATGCATACGTATGACTTTGCAGGAAGAAGATTGCCGGAAGGGTTTGTGGGAATGCTGTTTTTGTAAGAGCTTGACGCACAAACGCTGTATCACGTGCTAAGTGAGAAGAAATCACCCAGACTGACCTATGTTACATGTGGCTCCCTCCCAGCCAGGTGAGCATCTGCATTTGAAGGTGTCCCCTTCATCATGGCATGTACCTCCATTGTTGCATGTAGCTTCGTCACACTGGCTATCACCTAAAATTACAGTTGATCCCACAGTATTTTATAACTTCATATGTACACGCTCACACAAACAACAAAAAAAATCTCAACAAACTGGGTGGGTCATAAAAATAGTCTTTCTTACGGGAGTGGCAGGTTTTTCCCTTCCAGCCATTTCTACATTCGCAATAGAAATCGTTCACCAGGTCTTGACATGCTCCCTTGTTCAGGCAAGGGTTCAAGCTGCAGTCATCTATGTCTAAAAACGAGGAGAAAAGATCAAGAAAATGAGCTCAATGAAGCACAAAAAAGAGAAAAACGTTTTGCAAAAAATCTATACTTGAACTTACTGATTTCGCAGTGAACTCCTTCCCAACCGTCAGCACAAATGCACTGATAAACGTTCACTTTGTCGATGCAGGTCCCACCATTGCGACATGGGTTACTTTCACAATCGTTAATGTCTGAAAAAGTACCATAACCAGCACAAAATTTAGGATCATCTTAGACAATAATGCAAACAGTACAATAACAATGAATACTTTTCATTCTAAATTATTGATTTTTAATGTGTTGGTGATATTAGATCTGTAATTGTGTATGAATATTTTCATATTAAGCATTTTAATATATAAAACTCAATTTTTGATAACAATCTTTAATAAAACTCCACATAAATCACAGCAGTTTCAGGAATAATCTAGCAAGGATGCACATTAAATAACTTCATACGGATTAGGATGTATTACTGATTTTTGGCAATTAGGTATTTACCAGTTATCTGTTAAAGCAATTATCGAGATAATATAAAGAAGTCTGTGCACTCCAGTGGGATAATATTTTCAGACTTTTATGAAAGTAAATGTATAACTGATTGAAATCGACTAGTATCAGTCTATATATTGTGTAGGTTTTTTAAATAAAATATTTATTGGTTAATATAATTACATACTTACAAAAAAAAGTATATTATCAGCGACTGAAGTTATATGTTTTTAATCTTAATTTAATATCCATAGTCATATCACCTTCCAGCCCAAGTCCGGTTACTTACTGAAGCTAAGCAGGGCTGAGCCTGGTGCATCCCTGGATGGGAGACCACAATGGAAAACTAGGTTGCTGTTAGAAGTTAGTAAGGCCAGCAGGGAGCGCTTAACCTGTGATTTGTGTGAGTCCTAATGCCCCAGTATAGTGAAGGGGACACTGTATTGTCAGTGAGAGTCGTCTTTAAGATGCTACGTTAAACTAAGGTCCTGACTCTTGTGTTCATTACAAATCCTATAGCACTTCTCGTATAGAGTAGCCCCGGTGTCCAGGTAAAAGTCCCTCTTCGACCCTTACCGATCAAGATCTTCCAATCATCCCCATCCACCCAATTGGCTCTTACCGTCTCTCCACTCCACCAATAGCTAGCATGTGGTGAGCGCACAGGCGCCGTTGTCCTATGGCTGCCATCGCATCATTCAAGTGGATGCTGCACACTGGTGATGGTGTGGAGAGACCCCTCCCTCCCACCTTCATGATTATAAAGTGCTTTGGTTGTATGGCCTTACACGCATTACATTACATTAACTTCATTAAGTGTATTGGCAGTATGTGTATTATTGATCTTGCTATTCTGGTATTGCTAGATATATGTATTGGTTTTTTTATGTGCATTTTTCTTATGTTTACATTTAGAATACAATGTCTCATTATAAAGAATCTATAGCAAATGATCTATCCCTTCTACAAATGTATATAATATTTAGTTTTACTTGGACATAATATTGTATGATTTTATTATCAGGCATTTATCGGATAAAACAATCACTTTCTACCAATATCAGTGCATCCCTATAGCCTAAAAGGAAAATGTTTAGACGTACTCTCGTGGCAGTAGGTTCCTCTGAATCCTTCTTGACACTCGCATGTAAACTGGCCTCCAGCTTGGCTCCTGCAGCGTCCATGAGGCCCACAGACATTTGAAGAGATGTATCGCACTCCTTCCGGTGTACTGTTGGACGCCACTGCGACTGTGCAGCTGTCAATCACTGTAAAGATTTACGATAAAGAGCCAAAAATCCAGCTGTTAAAAGCAAGTGAAAAAAGCTTGCAACACCACCCGCTCTTTTTCTTTATAGCAAATTATTTGTAGATATTTTGGGGTTCATTTTACAAAGAAAATCCATTTTTTTAACATCTGCTTTTGCAGAAAGAATGTGCAGGACAGCAAATTTAATGCACATAAGCCCTGATTCTGCTTAAAAAGAAATTTGATGGGCTTCTCTAGCTGGGGGGTTTGCCCCTCCTCAAGCACACACACACTCACACACACACGTTCTCTTCTTAAAACATCCAAGGCAGAGAATCCCACCAAGTCATTACCACGAAGAACACACACAGAGCTGTTAAGAAACTGGCAAATGTTCAGGAGGATTTGGGAATGGAGAAAGTGTTTAAGAAACTGTGTGTGTGTGTGTGTGTGTGTATGTGAGCTGCGTGTCCAGAGAGGTTACTGTCAAATAGCTCACAACGGGCTGAAAAAGCCTCATGTAACAAAATATGAGCTCTTTTTCTTTCTCCCCGAAGGTGGTGGGAGAGTCCACGGGCCTGTAATCTAGTTTTACTCAGCAGCTGAACAATGGCATGCAGCTCGCAGATCAGCTTACTGTGGGCTTTAGGGGCGGTTTACAAAGAGATCGAGAATCGGGATCCGTCCTGGAGAGAGGGAGATTTCTCACCTTGGCATGATGTGGTTCGACAGTGGTCCTTCAGATGAGAGCAGTTTTTGCCCTCGTAGTCGTCAGGACATTTGCAGAAGTAGTCGGAGGCCAGGTTGAAACACTGCGCGCCGTTTTGACATGGGTTGGGCTTGCAGTAATCGATATCCAACTGCACCAAAGATTTACAAGAGGAGAAAAGAGTCAATGAGGAGGGGGGAAATGATATCCAGGCATTTTTGGGTTCTTAGAAAACACTGAGCAACTCTCGACACGGCGTTTGCCAGGAAAAAGTGCACTAAACGCTCAAGAGAATGAAAACAAATAGAAGAATATTTTAAAGAGTGAGCCAAAACCATGCCTGTCTCAAACCTAGCCCGTCTATCTTTAGGGTATAACTAGAGCTGGGCGGTTGAAGGTATACAATACTGTTTAAAGGTTTGGGGTTAGAAATTAATACTCCTATTCAGCTAGGATGGAGTATGCGTCGTCACGTTCCATGAAAACAACTAAAAAGGCTTTATTATGTCTGCTAGGCCAGTAGTTGGCAATGCAGGTTTGATAAAACAAAATCTGGCTATCGATTGAACATAATGTACATGCAAGACGTCAGCCATTTCAAAAGTTTACTGAGATGCTAAGTGTATCTTTTAAAAACATGCACTGAAACCTTTTGTTTTTAAAGGGTCCCGAAACACCAAAACAGATTTTTTGAGCTGTTGACAGTCGTATATGTGTCCCAGACTGCTAAAAACACCATTAGGACACCTATATTTCACTAAAAAGTGTAAATTGGTTGTTTTTGCGTTATTTCAAGCAAATTCGTACTTCCGGTTTGAAACAAATTTTTGAAGCTGCGTCACGGTCATGACATAATAGCGTGTATTCCAGCGTGCAGACTGGGCGTCTGTGCCAGAGTGAGTCTTATTACGTCTTACAGTGTGATGCATTAATGCATGAGTAAGGCTTGGTTCAAACCAATTAGCGCGCTCTATTGTGCAACTTCATTAATATTCATTACTGTGTTTACACGACAGAGACGCCACGTTGTGTTGGCAAAACAAGCGTGAAGTGTTGCTTTTATACTTTGCTGCCGTTAAGTTTTGTTTTCATTTTCTCTCTGTGAGAGCTCATCTGGAGTCACGTGTGGATTAACAGTGTACGCGACGCTCGACAACAATAACTTGCGTGTCTAAGGAGGATTATTGTTTACCCGAGAGCTGTTCTCATCTGCAAACGCTGAGATCCGGATTCGCTTGTAGTCTTCTCTTCATAAAGATGCGGCTCTAGTTGGTGGTGATTGTCCTGTCTCTACAGATTTGGTAAGTGAGCGGCCAGTGCTCTTTGTTTATTGAGTTTGTTCGTATCGAACTAAGTTAACTATTGCACCGAGTGTAAACATGTGCACCACAACCAAACTTTAACCTCGTGTAGGGTTTTTACTGCATTTTGTGACCGGAATAACACACACGGCTTTCTGACACTACCTGCCGTGTGCATCTAAGTTTCCGGGAAATGCGGAGGGTTTTTTTTTTTCTCATTCGCCGTGCGGTATCAAACATTGCATGAAAAATACACGCTTAGAGCAGTTCCTCGAATCAAATATCTTGTTTGTCGCGAGGGGCATTAATGAATTCCCTGAATCAAAGAGCCAAACTGCAGTTGAAGTCCACCATTTAATAATTTGGCAAATAATTCGACTACAGATGTCCATGTAGGTTAAACACCATCACTTTCTCCTGTGTGTGTGTATTTTGACTCTGAAACTCGCGCTTGCCCAAATAGAAACTCCCACACCCTCCCACTTTAGTTCCTCCGACACTCCCCCCTAAACAGAGCTGGACACGCCCACTTTGCTGACTTTGCTGACTGACCTGCTGAAACGAGGGGGTTTCATGGCCCTTTAAAGGTTAGCATTTTCAAAACGTTTAAATATTCAAATACTGCAAAATAAACAAGTATAAATTACCTGACACAGTTGACCCGAAAAGCCAGCAGGACACAGGCACTGAAATCCGTTAACTTCATCCTGACACCGCCCACCATTCAGACAGGGGCTGCTAGCGCACTCGTCCACATCCTTCTCACACTGTTCACCAGTGTAACCAGGAGGGCATAGACACCGGTATCCATTCACCAAATCCTGTCAAAGAAGACATTTTATTTTATTCTCGACTCATTGTGCTGAAGCAGCCAAGGTCAAATATTCTCCCTGCCAAAATCCCAGACTAACTTTCCTGGCACAGACCTCCTTAAAAATGACTATCCAGTTTAGAGCGCTTACTTTTGCTTTGTACAAGAATGACTGGTATCAAGATGTCAACCTCAGACGACACACCCATGAACTGTTCGTGTTTTTGTTCTGGATGTTTACAGTTTCTAGGCTTCTACAGTAAGCCCTCCTAGTCACTGGATTTGTCAGTTTGAGAGCTTCCTGATGTTAAGCCATAGAAGGCACCCGGGGGGTTGTTTGAAGCCGTCAGTAGCAATAATAAGGGATATCCTTGAGCGCACCTGTATATTTGACTTGGTTCATAGTTATATCTGATTTCAGATAAACCTATTTTAGATATCAAAATGACTTGCTGTACTTGGCTGCTTGCCAAGCTTAAGTGCCAAATATTACAAGTGCTGCCATCTATCTGTATGCATAGTGTGGAAGTGGGTGATGAGAAACACTAGCGAGGTCCTTGACTTTACCAACTTGTCCACTTTTGACCAAATTGTGATGCAGTATATGAAGAGGGTATAATGGAAATTTGAATACAAGTGGGTGCTTTTGAATGCATGTCAATACCAAGTGTAAAGTAAATGATAATACATCAGGCTACTAATGTTTGGATCACTAAAAACATGTTAATACCAGGTGGATGAATGGCCTTGGAAGAGAAAGTCAATTTCAAAACGGAAAATTCTGTCATAATCGACTCATCCTCTGCTTGCTCCAAACCTGTTTGTCATCCTTTCTCCTGTTGAATGCATAAACACTGACTTCCATAGTATTTCTGTTTCCTACTATGGAAGTCAATGGTTACAAGTTTTGCGTTTTCTTCAAAGCATCTTCTCTAGTGTTAGTAAACGTTTGGAATCACTTAAGCCTGAGTAAATAGTGAGTACATTTCCTTTGTGGGATGAACTATCGCTTTAATGCAGTCTTGATGAATAAAAGTACCTCTTACAATCTTATCAAACTTGTAAACACAACATTGATAGCAAGAGGCTATTTTTTGGAGCATCAACAATCCTAATGTTTTAATGAAAGAGTAGTCAGATGAGGAGATCCCTTACCTTGCAAGTTCCTCCATTCAAACACTGACCCTTACAGTCATTTATGTCTGAAAAATGAGAGAAAAAAATGTCAATATTATATGAAAATGTGTATGAGATTACAAAAAAAATCAACACTTAAATGATTATACTCACTTATATCACAATTTTGACCTGACCATCCAGGGAGACACTCACAGAAATATGCACCAATCAAATTGTGGCATGACTTAGCGTTCACACATGGCTTGTCCTCACATTCATTGGCATCTTTGAAAACAATGATTTGAACTACTAGTCAAACACATGCACATGTTTGAAAATATAGTTAAAATATGAGATGCTGTCTCACCAATTTGACATGTTTTGCCAGTCCAGTGAGGAGGGCAGGCACATTTAAAGCCATTGACCAAATCTTGACATGTGCCTCCATGTTTGCACTGGTTAGGTGTACAGTCGTCCACATCTACGAGAACAGAGCAGGTTACATACATCAAGTACTGATGGGTCTCTTCTAATGTTATACATGTATAAAAAGAGTGTGGCTACTTACTGATTTCACAGGATGTGCCACTCCAGCCGATTGCACAGTGACATTCGTACCCCTGGCTGGTCTCCTTGCACGTCCCTCCATTTGCACATGGGTTGGATAGACAGGCGTGTTCAGCTGTAAATGCAAATAGACTTATTTGTTACTTTTTTGTATTGGTTTTTTAATACCACAAAATTAATATTCTGGGTTTATCAGAGTTGGGAGTAACACGTTCCACAGTAATGCGTTACTGTATTTTAATTACATATTTGGGGAATGCAGTAATGTAACGAATTACATTTTATTCATTCATTCATTTTCTTTTCGGCTTAGTCCCTTATTAATCCGGGGTCGCCACAGTGAACGAACCACCAACTTATCCAGCACGCGTTTTATGCAGCGGATGCCCTTCCAGCCGCAACCAAATTGCATTTTAAATTTGTGTAATTTGATTACGGTTACTAAAGTCAGTGCGTTTGTTACTTACGTACCAATATAATTTTATAGCCAGCTGACATGGTTAACAACAAAAGTGGCTGCTTCTTCAAGTGGAAATCCAGACATCACTTCGAATTCATTGAACGTAAAAACAAAAATATTACTGTGAAATGCAGTGTATGTCTAGTCTCTCTTCACTTTTAACTCGACCAGCCACTTAAATTATATGACAATACTCATGACCAACTCAGCCTAAACAGGCTAAATTGAATTTTTGTGCAGGATCGGGAGTAAAGGTATCTTCTGAATGTGTAGAGAAGCATAGCTGCTTATGGGGCCGATCACATATTGCGTCTTTTGCGCGTGCAAGTTCATTATTTCCAACGGCAATGCCAATATTCTAAGGTTATTTACCTCAGACAAACACAGCACTGCAGTGCTTTTTCACACTATGATTGTCAGTGGTTACAGGTATCCAATTTTCTTCATGTCGTCATATAGACAAAAAAAGACAAACAGGTTTGCAACAAGTGAATGATAAGAAAATTTGTACGTTTTGAGTGAACTCTAAGTCTTTTGAATATGTCAAGCGGCTGTGATCAACCCACTGTAATGTTTTTCAGTGAATATTAAATTACTGAACGAGCTGCAGTTTATTTAGTTTATTTATTTTGTTTTTATAAGTATATTTATATGTTTTAAAAGTGACTTCAAAGTATTAGTAATCTGATTAGATTTTACTGTAAGTTATTAGTAATGTAATCAGATTACAATTTGTCATTAATTTGTAATCTGTTTCCTTTTTAAAGTAACTTCCCAAACACTGGTCTTTACATGATCACCCTATAGTCATTTTAAACAAATCAACTCTCTTGTGAAGCCTTGCCATCCTTATGAACACAATTGGGTCATAGAGGTTTGAAACTACATCTCAGTGAAGACATTACTCCTATTTTTGTGTGAACTATAGGTTCACCTTTGCAGACACCAGAGCATGCAGATCTGACCTTTGCACTGTAGCCACATGATTGACAACAGCAACTTAACAGTTAGTTCAGCTTTATCTCCCAGAATGAATCTTCCTATGGTTTGTATAGGGGATGATTTTTTTTACCTTATTGCAAAATAATAACAATTAACAAACTCTCCTTCTGTAATTTGCACTGAATTTCAAGTCAAAATAGGATAGTAATATTGATTAATCATTGATTTTCCTTCAGCTTAGTTTCTTATTTATTAGGGATCGCCACAGCTGAGTGAACCGCCAGCTATTCCAGCATATATTTCACACATGCACTTATAAACGAAGGCCAACTTAGTTTACCCAATTTACCTATAGCACAGGTCTTTGGACTGTGGGGGGAACTGGAGCACCCGGAGGAAACCCACGCGAACATGGAGAGAACATGCAAACTTCACACAGATATGCCAACTGGCCCAGCTGTGACTCGAATCAGCGACCTTCTTGCTGTGAGGCGACTGAGCCACCGTGCCACCATTGATAAGTGCATTTATTTTTACACATCAAAACTAAGTAACTTTCAGCACAAAACAAGTTTTCTTCTTGCTTCATTGGCAGATATTTTCTTTCAAAGCATGTCACTTGATCAGATTTTCAGAAAACAAGATTTTGTTTCTCAAATCAGTGTATCTTAATTTAAAAACATTTGGATGTTTGTGCTGGAGAACATTTTTTGAAGACTCTGTCACCACACTGAGCGCCTGAATTTGGATTATATGAATCCAGGAGGAGGATGGGGAGGGGGGAAAAAAAGCCATGACGGTCCATCTGGCACATTTCATCACTATACCCATCCAACCACTGACTGTCAAAACAGACGGGATCCACTGGCAGGACATATCATAACAGAGGATTAGCAGACCTGGGCGCCCTTCCTGACACTGTAGACAGTTAAGGCCTGAGTCTGACATCATCTGATCCCTCGTAGGCCTTCAATACGCCCTTTCCCATCTACATTTATACCAGAACACAATGACATTGCTGAAGTAATTTAACTCGGTGTCGGTAACAAAATGTCTTTGTGTTAGAAAAAGTGACTTGTGCCAACAGAAACACAGAAAGCAGCACATAATAGCTGTAAAGATTTATCAAACTAGAGTCATAAATGGGGAAACATGGAACAGCTTTTGGGTAGTACTGTAAAATGTTTGACCTTTAGCAAAACAACAGCTTCTTATTGGAGCAGCGTAAAGCTTTTTGTAAACATTATGTTCTTCAAAACAATGCCTATTTAAATGTAAAAAGCAATATCTTAACACAACATGACGTACCAAATGATGCAACTCTGTGACAGGTTAGATGAGTTTTTGTCCTCCCAATGCCGAGTTCAAACTGCACCATTTTCCAAATAGTCGTGTCACAGATGTTTTTACACTGCATGACTATCTGGGGTAGCATTTGGTCGGTGCAGTGTTTACACTGCAAGTTGGGTCAGCGACAGGAAGTTTCACACTGCATGAACACTGCACACGATATGATCATGGATTTTAGGAAGGCTGCTCACTCACAGGTGAGCACTTCCATTAAAAATCAGACTGTGGAAAGTGTGCAATCATATAAATACCTTGGCACAATTATTGACTCTAAACTTTCCTTTGATGAGAATTGTGCAGCAGTGTGTAAAAAGAGGCACCAGCGACTATTTTGCTTGAGAAAGTTAAATTATTTCCATATCGATAAACAGATGATGAATCTTTTTTATCACGCCTTTCTTGAATCCGTTTTATCCTTTGCTCTGGTGTCATGGTTTGGAAATCTTTCTGTCAAGAATAAAAATTCACTAAATCAAATAGTTAAGTGGTCCAGTAAGCTGACCGGGGTGTCACTAGCCAATCTAGAAGCTGTGTACACTAGGCAGCTAAAGAGAATTACAAATTCAATTTTAAATGACACTGCTCATCCCCTACATTCAGAGTTTCAGCTCCTTCCCTCCGGTCATAGGTTTCTAGTATTAAGCTGTAAAACGAAACATTACAAAAATAGTTTTATACCAGCAGCCATTAGACATTTAAATAAGACTTAAGCAGAGATGTTTCAGTGACCTGTATATTTTAAATCATTTTAAATATTTACTTGGGCGAGGGGGGTGGACACTTAAAGTGGTTATTTATTTATTCTTTATGTTTATGTTTTATGTCCTAATGCGCATTTGTTGTTGTTACTGTGTGAGTTGCTTTGTGTGGCACTGTTGTAAGATGAGGACTCTTGACTGCAAATCAAATCTACCTTCGGGTATAAATAAAGTAACCTAACCTAACCTAACCTAACTGCATGACTTTACAATAGGAAGAATCGCCGACAACTTTGTCTCGATCTGCAAACTACGTCTTACAACCAAACACACACGAGAAGTGACATGGAAACAACACAAGTTCAATAAAAAAAGCCTTTAGTGGGGTAGAAAATGTACTTATTTTGCTCACCTGGCTTTTAAAGAGAATTATCAATTTCTACTCAACTTTTTTTCTTTTCGACCCGGTTGTAATATTGCTCAGATGACACATCAAGCAGAAACAGCTTCTCCTGACAAAATTACACAAATTTTCCCTACATTTCTTGCGTCCAAATAAACTGAAAACGAGCGCTTTTAAATTCTCCGCAACCTCAGGCATTTGTCAGTGATTTCTGAAAACCTGTCGATGAAGCCTCGGCATAACCATCCACAAAATTTCAGTTTTGGTAGTTTATAGTTTTGTGACATCGCAGCTGGAACTACTACTGTACGTTAATGATAACCTCAGGTACTGATTATGTGCTTTATTCAGTGTTAGATGTTACTAGTCTACTAGTGTTTGAATACCATTTTCCATTACATTTATAACCATAGTGCTAGCAGATAACTTACATCAAATTTTCGAAAATAAAATTACTAGCTTATGTTTAAACATGAATGCTAGATCTCTGAATGTTGCAAACTATCAACATCAGTCAATCAGCATGTACTTTAAGTAATGTTAATGAGGTTTAATATTTATTATTATAAACTGGGGTTGGAGCACCATTCTGCACTTCTGAATCTCTTTTGGTATTTAAATGTTTATTATGTCGGTATAATCTTGTCATGCCACTTGTTGCTAGGACACGGTGTAAAGTTAAACTGCAGGTATTGGAACGTCAGCTATGGTTTGCATTTACGCATATGACATTTAATTCAAGGTACTCATTTACATTTTATCAGTTCTTTGTTTTTTTCTTGGAATTGAACTCATCGCTAGTGCAATGCTCAACTGTTTGAGCTACAGGATTACCAAGGCTAATAAAAACTAAGAAACAGGAAGACTTCTGAAAGCACAAGAATGACATTTATGCTCAACACAAACCAACCTTTCTCATCCTCAGATGGCAATCTCAGATGCATAATGCATATCAAATGACAATGATGAAAAAGCCCTTTCCAATTGTTTTTTATTAAAGATGTAATGAGATCTATTTCATTGTGTATATACATGTAAATAATACATATAAACAAAGCAATGCCTGCTTTGCATGTCATTTCAAGTCTAATAGGTAATCTTGAGCAGACCCTGCTAACTTCACCAGATTTTACACAGAGACAGACTGACCTCGTTCACAGTTGACGCCCGAGTATCCGTCTTCACAAGAGCACTGGTACTTGTCAGGCCCTGTGTTGCTGCACGTTCCTCCATTCAGACATGGCTGGTGAGTTCCACAGTAGTTTAGATCTGAAAGGTGTGAATATTTGTTATGTGTTTTGAATATTAGGCAGCAAATACAAAGACAGATTTATTAAAATGAAAGTGTGCTTACCTTTGTCACAGAGTTGTCCGCCCCAGTTAGTGTCACAGAGACACTGCCAGGGTTCAACGCAGGTTCCATGTACACAGCCCGGGTGAGGGATGCATTTATCACAGTATGGACCCTGCCAGCCATACAGACACCTGAAAGAAACGGATATACACTATGGTAAGGTTTTAGAAAAGCAAAATGTCTATTAAAAACTGTTAAGCTGATTTTACAGTGTAATTGCTTTGCAAAAGTTTTGCATGGCCTTGATTCGCATTTCCACAACAGTTTAGTAGCACTTAAGTGGGTAGGACTATCACTATAGTTGCACTGCCTTTACCGCCCTGACATCACTGCATTAATTCCGGATCAACCCATCCCAAACAATGAGAGGAATGTCTGGACTTCCTGGTCCAATGTGGCTGACAATTGTCTCAGACCAATTAGTAATCAGCAGTGTGCATATGTCACACTTTGGTAATGGGAAGGCTATTTTGGAAACTCGTTTGAGGTGGTCCTTAAAAAATGGTAAAAAACCAGGTACTTGATACAGAACAGTGGAAAAGCATCCATAAATGAGTTGTGCCAAACCAAATCGAAAAAGCCTTTTTTCCCTTATTTTATTTATTTTATTTTAGAAAATGGCATATATCAGGGATTCTGCAGAGTTCACCAAGTTAAATTTAAGACTTTTTAAGACCATTATGAATAAAATGTTTGACTTTTGACAGGGCTAAATGCTGTCTCCTAGTTAGAAAAGATTTTCACTTGACCCATCAAAAACTGATTATAATTTAATAATACAATAATAATAATTTAATAATAAAAATATAGGTCAGGTCAGTATCCTCAGCAGTAAAAAAAATGGAGAACTTTTAAACAAATGTTACTGTAATGAAGGAAATTAAATGCAATTTTTAAATAAAAAGTTTTGTTAAGATTGGGATTGTTGGTGATTGTATGGGTGTTCATGGCCAGATTGGGTAGCTATACATGAACATAGTAAAATTAAGACCTGTTAAAAAAAAAAAAAAAAAGATTTTAGACCTACAACCCAATATTTTAGTAGATTTAAGACTTGAAGGCCTACAATTTAGCTTTTAAGATTTAAGACTTTTTAAGACTTTAAGATGGATACCCTGTATAATGTAATCAACCCACAACATAATAATTTACATAGGCAGTTGACATAAAAGATTTGTTGTAAATGAGAATATTTTAGAAACATTCAGAAACACATACACAAACATATGTTTTGTTTTGAATAATGTACGTTGCGTTTCAGTGGAAAGTTCATGGACAAAATCAATTAAATCAGCAATGTCACAGTGAGTTCTCCAATAGTAATATAATAACATGTCATTTCAACAAACAGCAGAATATGTTCTTGTTTGCCCTCAAAAAAAGTTTAAATGCCATACACCAACACCCCTTTTATGAGAGCTTTCTTTTTTAATTCTTTCATTTTGTCAGAAGGCCTCAGGGTGTAGAAGTATGTTCTACTATAATGGCAACACCACACAAAAACAGTGTGTAGTGATATTCTGAAGCATAATGTGCCATAATTGTACTCAAATCAAAACTTTGAGGAAATGGCTGTTATTCAGGATCTTCAACACTGAGAGGTTACCCTTTTGTTAACCGTTTTAAAAGTTCACTCCAGTCCAATGGGGAAAAGGGAACCGCCGACAACTTCTTGTCTGATTATTTAATGCCAAGCCATGCAAACAACAAACAGCAGCTTTAAAACTCCACTGGGTCTTTTAGAGAGACTAACATTAGCTTGTGGCAGGACACTCTGTCTCAATAAAAGCGGAGCGGCTTGGCCTCGAAACTGCTCGGACCGTCTGGGTGGGGGGAAGAATTGTGTTTGCAGACTGCTCTATTGGCTAATGTATTTACGGCGGGTTATTTTGCATTCTCACTCCTGTTCCCATGTACCCAGGAAAGAAAAAAAAAGAAAAGAGTCAGCCGCAGAATATCTACAAGCCTGTAATTAAAAGCCATCTCCAAAACGACTCTGCGATAGCTCCCCGCTACACTTCCCCCTTACGATGGCCGTAAATAAACAGCCAAAACGATAACCTGCATCTTAAAAAAAAGGAGATAGTAAGTCACTTGAGTGCTCAGCCACAGGAAAACAGACCGGCCTCTAGGGAAAAAAGAAAACAATTAGCCTGAGGCGGCAGTTCAGCTGTAAAAATAAACACGGTGGTTGAGGAAACCTCTCTCTGTGATTAAAGGCAACTATTCTTGAACGTGCGAGAAGATTTCACTATGAGAAACCTTCACAAAAACACCGCATTTGGTCTTAAAATTATATTAAAGCAGAGATGTGACGTTAAATCTGCATGGCTGTGAAACATTTTCACCCTGTAGGCCTCGCTGGTTCCGATTTAGCACAGTAAGAGCTCTTGTTACAACAGTTGCACAATTGGATGGTTGTGTGTTCTGGCAAGCTTTCACTGAGAGATGAATAGGTAATGGGATATAATCATGCCAAATGTAACAAAGAGCTGAGGTTTTAGTATACATTGAGTTCTAGCCTTGATCTCCAATGCTTTCAAAAATGGTACAATGGCGAGAATTAGCCAAACAAGCAAGGTCTTCATAACAACATCAAGCTGTTGACCGAGTTTGAGCGAAAACATGCAAATAACTAACGAACCAATGGAAACAAAGCGGAAAAATCTCAACGTAAAACCTGCCAAGACTTGCCCTACCGAATAGAAGATTGGTTTGTTTTGCAAGAAATTCAATTTTCATTAACTGAATGACCCACTCAACACAAATGAGCAACACATGATGCATTCCTTTATGACGAACCGAATATCTGCGGTAATTCTCATCTATAGGTTTTCCTTTTCTAGGAACAGCTTTGGATAGCTATAGCTGGACTAAAAACTGCTTAATTTTGCTTTCTAGAGGGAAAAAAGAAACAATAGTAGTAGAATAAAACCACCATGTTATTTTATTCCACAGCCATTTTGTTTACGACTTATTTTTTATGTGAATCAGTGTCACAAAAGAGAACAACAGCACTTATGATCCACTTGGGAGCTATAACTACACACAAACACACACACACACACACACACATGCAGATAGATATGCATCGCTTTCTCTTCCCACTGTGGCCAAATTCATACATCATTAGTAAAACAAGCAGTGCATTTTAAAACCCAATTAAAGGTTCAGCTTGTTAGATTATGGTTAGTAGATAAGGCCTCGACATCTTGCCAGACAAAAGCAAAACATAAAATAGCTATAAATAGCTTTGTGCTTCAGTCGTCTCCACAACCTTATTGACACCGCGCTAAACGTGAAATGGCCATTCTTGTAGGTTGATGCCAGTAATCTGCGCTTTTGTTGACTGTGGGAGCTATCAGACTCTGACAGGTCAAACAGGACACATGGATTCTAACTAGATTTAACCATGAGCTTCTAGTTGCAGTGAAAGCTTGTACTGTTGCATCTTTAACAAGGCTGTGGTTGTTGCTCAAAATGTTAAAGAGCAAAGCTGAGGACGAAATAAACCTGCTGACACCATTTTTCGATGCATGAAATGGCTGAAAATTAATTAGGAATATTTACTTGCTAATAACTTACTTGCAGCCGCCTGGTTGCTTGCATGATCCGTGTTCGGTGCTGCAGCCTTGTCTGCAGATCGCTGGAAAACAGAGAACAGGAAAAAAAGATGAGATTTGGGGCCTTGTGAAATCACACAGTGGGCATCAGTGTCCCCTGTTCACCCGTGAAAATGTGTCAGGAATGCATAAGGCTGAAATCTTTAAAACCCCTGTCCAGCCCACAGAATTCTGCTCTAATTTGAGGCTTGTCATCAGGCTTTAGGTGCTGCTCTTTCTGTCTTGTTCCAAACTATGGTCACCCTCTTAAAATGGCAACTGTTTGGAAGCATTCAAGTCAGCATCTTTGTGATTTCATCAGATGTATTCAGGTGTGCACAAATTTCATGAATTTTCTAGAACTTTGTGAGTTTTATATAAATAAATAATATTTTAGTTGCAAATAAATAGATAATGCATTGATTTTTGCCAGTAATTTTTTTTACATATAGTAAATGTTTTAAATATGGTCAAATAGAACACAACTAAAAATAATAATATTTCACTTATTCACATATTTTATCTTTCACATATTTCACAATTCTTAATTTATTTTCTTTTTTTTATTTACATGAGATGCTTTTTTAAAAACCATAAAAAGTACAATTTAAAGTACACTACCTGACAAAAGTCTTGTCGCTTAGAAAACTTAGAAGTTTAAGAACAGGAAATAATAACTTGACTGCTAGTAGATTGTTTGGTATCAGAAGTGGCTTATATGAAAGGCAAAGGCCTCTAGATTACACTTATTAGTTATTTAATAAGGACAGTAAGGTCTGACTTTGCTTAGCAAAAGTCTCACTAAACAGAACTAATGTACAGTATAGGATATAAAGTCATGGTGCAGTGGATAAAGAATTATTATTCTGTTTTAATCCCATGAGTTTGGAAGACTGCATCCATACATTTCTGCAATGACTCAAATAACTTATTAATAAAGTCATCTGGAATGGCAAAGAAAGCATTCTTGCAGGACTGTCAGACTTCATCAAGATTCTTTGGATTCATCTTCAATGCCTCCTCCTTCATCTTACCCCAGACTTGCTCAATAATGTTCATGTCTGGTGACTGGGCTGGCCAATTCTAGAGCACCTTGACCCACTTTGCTTTCAGGAACTTTGATGTTGAGGCTGAAGTATGAGAAGGAGTGCTATCCTGCTGAAGAAAGTGCCCTTTCATGTGGTTTATAATGTACGGGGCAGCACAAATGTATTGTTACCTCAGGCTTTTGATATTGCCATCCACTCTGCAGACCTCTTGCATGCCCCCATACTGAATGTAACCTCAAACCATGATTTTTGCTTTACCAAACTTGACTGATTTATGTGAGAATCTGGGATCCATGCAGGTTTTAATAGGTCTTGTGCAGTATTTGTGATGATTGGGATGCAGTTCAACAGATGAATCATCTGAAAAATCTACCTTCTGCCACTTTTCAAACCATCAACTAGAAGTCAAGTTATTATTTGTTGCTCTTACAACTGGGATCAACGAAAAGACTTTTGTCAGGTAGTGTACATTTAGTATAAATGTCAGTATAGAAATGTCAAACCTTTTAAAATCTGAATACCACTGTTTCACTCTTAAGTTTTGCCTATAAAAAATGACTTGATCATGAAAAGTGGGCTAATAAAAATACAATACAATCAAAAATACACCAAACAAAATTGGGCTTTATAAGTGGCTTTTTGGGTCATTATCAGTCAAAACAGGGCAGAATCAAATTCTCACCTGTGTTGCAGTCAGGACCCGTCCATCCTTCCAAACAGGTCTTGTTTCCATTCTGATCACAGGTATAATGTCCAAAGAACTCGTCACGTGGCCGGCAGAACTTGTTGCACCCGAAGCCGTAGTAGTGTTCAAGGCAGGTCACCCGGATTTGGTACTCAAACTGGGCGACGGGGCCATTATGGGTGAGCCTCTGCCATTGTCGATTTGGGTTGATCATGCCAGAGTGGTACGCTTTCTCGATGAGCTTTCCACCTGAACAGTCGATGTGTGACAGTCAGAAAAGGCCTTGACACAATAACACCACACACTACTCAAGGAGCTAAAGGTTAACTAGGAAACTTTAATGTCTCGATATCTGGTTGCTCACAGATTAAAGATATCGCTGGCCTTAAATGACCTCTCTTGTCTATAGCTGAAGGAAAAGCCACATTCACTATTAATTACATTGTGCAAACAATAAGTAATCCCATTGGCAGTCAGCGCTTGTGACGTCAGTAAATAAACACTGTCTTACACTCTCTGTCATTCACCCCAGTAAACTGAAACTATTTGCCATAGAAATAGTTCACACAGAAATTGCTAGTAAATTTTACAATTACAAATACAAAGGAGTTAACATTGCATTTATTTAGATTTCTTTAGGAGGGACTATCTGAATCAATCATTTTAAATGTATATTCATCCAAAATGTGATTATATTTAAACAAAAAGTTCTCTTTGTTACATCACACTATTTGTTGATGTGAAGGAGCTTACACACAGAATGCATTTGTGCATTTAAAGCAGTGACTTTGTACAGTTTAACGCTTAATGCATATTTCTGCCACACTTTCAAGATGAACATGATCGTGAAGATGCTTATTATTCTGTGTGCATGATATAAGTATACAGGTTTTTTTCTTAGGGCAGTTTTAGAAATGAAATTCATTTGATGAAGTCCTCCTAATATATATAGAAAGATGGCATATTCTGAAAACACCACAAATCTCACATTTCCGAGTCTCTATTTACTATTCAATCAATTAAAATCAAATTCTTATCTCCAATTTTGGCCTTCAGCGATTATGAAAAAGCATAAAATCATTATTTCATATCCTTCATATCTTGCACTTTCCAGTAGCGCACATTCGTTCCTCTGCAAAGCCCATTTTCACATGGAAATAGGTAAAATCATGTAATCTGACTTATGCCGCATGGGACGTGCTTGATTTATGGAAGTGTATTAGATTTAGCCACGTTTTTAAAATCGCAAATGAAATCATGCTTCTAGAATATAAAACTTACATGTTTTCTTTCAACTTAAGTTGTGCGCCTAAATGGTTAAATACATGCACAAATATGGCAAAATGCAGTACTTAGTAATTATTTACATAAACCCTGGTTTGTCATGTGATAAATTAACATGAAACATGCACATGTACCAGTAAATTGGATTTGTGTGGCTCTTAATGTGACAGAGGTCTATTCTTGCTTCAGACTGGGCTTATGATTAGTAATTAAACAACAGTCTAATAAAAATCCCTCACTGCTCATCACTATTATAGATATAAATAAATAAATCCTGATCATGATTTTTCTATAATTGAGCAGCCCTAGTGTGTACTATTTAAAACTGTGTTATACATTCACACAGACAGGAAGACTTCATAGTAGTTTGCTGATTAATTTTAACGCACACTAATCCATTTCTCCAATTAATGGTTTAATTATACAGTCATTCCATTTTCATGACCACATTCTGCAATGTTTTTCCTTGGATTTTATACTTTTATTTTAGGGCTGCACAATATATCGTTTTAGCATCGATATCGAAATGTGATCATTCGCAATAGTCACATCGCATGTATACACAATGTTGAGTCTAAATAATAATTTATTATTTTGCAGGTGTTTTTTGAGGCCTTTGGCTGTGTGAGGGTTTTAAAAGCATTCAGGCCTATTAAATTGTACCATCTGTAACTTTGACAAATTAATAACCGTACATTTTATTGAACTGTTTAAAAAATGAAGATTTTGTAATATTATTTTACATTTAATTATTCAATTACTGTATACCGGAATACAGTTCGATTCCTCAGAAAACAATAAAACGTTTATTTAATTTTTGTCTTTTTCTTTATTGAACTTATCAACACTTGTAGATTGTTTATTATATTTTATGCACTCCAATACAGAATCATCCCAATCAGTTTAAAATGATACATTCTTTCCAAATGGTTATTCAACTCAATAGTATCCGTATAGCAATATATGTATCATAGTATAAAATAAATTGCAATGTTACATTTTTTCAATATTGTGCAGCCCTAATTTATTTACACCATGTTTACATAGAAAAACAATCGAAAAGTTACATAGTGGACAACAGTTTAGCGTTCTGTGTGAACCAACGCTAAATAATTGTTAAAGTACATAGCAGTCTTTATATGTTAGGAACAAAGTTATTTAGTGATTATTCCTGGTATCAATTTTAAAAAACACCTGGATTGAAAAAGTAAGGCTGCATCTAAAATCGTATACTTCCATATTATATAGCACGCTATATTTCTAAAGTGCACATCCCATGCACGCTACGCAATCCCATGATGCCTCATGGGAGAATTTGTAAATGGGAGTGAAGCAATGCAACTCATAAGACTAGGTCATTTGATTATGACAAAATGGCGGATGTAGCTACTAGTACATCCAAATTCCATTGATAGTCCTCGGTGTCCTGCAAAGTTTAGTTCCAACCCCAATCAGACACACCTGGGCCAGCTAATCAATCTTTTACTAGGCTTTCTAAAAACATTCTTGCAGGTGTGTTGAGGCAAGTTGGAGCCAAAATCTGCAGGACACCGGCCCTCCAGGACCGAACTTGGACACCCCTGTTATAAAACGTACTTTTCTAACGGCCAAGTAGTACGTTTAAATCCAAATGCAGTTTGGGACCCAGCTTAACTGTTTGTGAGACACTTACTTGAAACAATACTAGCAAACTGACCTGCATTCCCATCAGACACTCTGACCACACAACCAACCACAAATTTCATCCTTAAATTCTTTACACACTCATCAAAAAAAGCAAAAATAACAAAAATGATTAATATTATTACAGTCATGTGAAATGACTCCAACCGGTTTTTGTCACACCGCCCAACCGTGCTGTTTCTACTCGCAGAAGTTGAGGTAAACTGACAGCTCTCATCGTTCAGCATTTCATTACTGAATCTGACTAAGACAGTGGACTGTGAAATGTCAATTCCTCCCTTTCACATGAACACTTATCTTTCACCTCTCAAACCACCAAACAATCTTCTCTGCAAACTAAATGCAACGTGCTACAGTTTCCAGAGGAGATAGAAATAGTCAAAGAAAAGCGATAGCATTAGGGCAGGTGGGCCTATAGTTCATAGCACTCTGGAATGCAGAGGGTCATTGTGGCATTTCGCTTGCACCCTGAGCCCTGCGGCCCGAGCCAAGTGTCACGTCTTTACTACCTGCAGCCTGATCCACTTCACTGTGGGGTGAGGAAGTCACATTAAACTGATAGAAAAAAATCCTCTGTGCTTGCAGGACAAAGCCGAAGGTAAGCTGCTGGCAAAAATTAAAAACTAATGTTATTTCTTACTATAATGCAAATATACTACTAAAACGAAGGGTTAAATAATAATAAAGAAAGAAAGAAACAGAAATTGCAATCCCATTGAAGAGCTGATATGTGGAAAGTTCTGCGGATGATTTTACTGAAAATGCACAAATTAAAGGACAGATGCAACAGATCTTTTTTTACAATATCCAATGCAATCTAACAAAAATTGAGCTGCTAACAAGATAAACGAGGGTTTAATACAAGATGTAAGCAAATCTGGCCCTAAAACATTCATATAGCATGGGTGCTTTATCAAAAGTGAACGTAAAATGTATAAGATTTCTGTTTTTTTTTTTTTTTTTTTTACTTTTCATTGAGTAATCCTATTATATTACTAATTCTACAAGTGCAGTGCAACTTTTTACATGTTGATAATGTAGATCAGAGTTTCTCAACTACATTCCAGGAGCACTGCACATTGTCCATGTTTCCTTAACCATACTGAAATTTTAAAAACGTCCATTTGCAGCTAACATTTGAGCATGTTCTTAAACAGCTGTGATTTCAGGTTCACATGCTCAAGAGAAATTACTGTGATTGGCGGTGAAGGTCATCAGTTCACCAACCTCACCGCTGTTTACTGAGTGTAACCACAGATACAGGGACACTGGAGTGTTTCTAACTCACGTTGATCAGCTAGTTTGTCTACAAGCTGACATACGAGCGATCCGCTGATGAATCGTAGCTTTAAAACACTCCAGTCCTCTTATATTTGTGGTTACACTCAGTAAACAGGTTACACTCAAATATTCGGTACCACTAATTCGGAATTCGGCACCATACTGAATACTGAATTTTTGAAAATTTAAATTTCCTGCTAACATTTGAGCATGTTCTTAAACAGCTCTAATTGGCATTGGGTTCACATGCTCAACAGAAATAACTGTGATTGGACGTGAAGGTCATCAGTTCACCTAACTCAACACTGTTTACTGAGGTTAACTACAGATACAGACACACTGCAGCGTTTGAAAGTCACGTCGATCAGCAAGTTTATTTATAAGCTGACATACAGGCGATCCGCTGATGAATCGCAGCTTTAAAACGCTCCAGGAAACAGCATTGAGTTTGGTGATCTGATGACCTTCACGGCCAATCAGCAATTTCTGATGTGCTCGTGAACACAATGGCAAATCAGCGATGTTTAAGAACATGCTCAATAGCGCTCAAATGTAATCAGAAAATGGACGTTTTTAAAATTTCAGTATCGTTTGGTATCGAATTGCAGTATTGTGCAACCCAAAATCAAACACACCTGATTCAGATCATCAGTTCATTAGCTGAGGCTGAAAGACCTGTTATGGTGTGACAGATAAAGGAGACATCAAAAACATGTAGTGTTGGTGGTCCGCCAGGAACGTGGTTGAGAAACACTGATGTAGATATGCATCTCGAGCAGCATTTGTGAATATTAAAAAGATTCCTAAAGGATCGCTTGACACAAAAGACTGGAGTAATGTTGAATAAACTGCATTTTTAAAAATGGATTTAAAAATATAACCATTTTTTTTCACAATATTTCTGTTTTTACTGTATTTCAAATCAAATAAATGCATCCTCTGTGACATTAAACTTTTAAACGTCATACTATATAGTATTGTATATGAATAAAAATATATCTTATAAATGTATCATTCAAACAATCAGAGTAAAGTAAGTAAAATACCTCTTAAATGTAACAAGGCTCATATTAAGAAGCACTTTTTTTAAAGTCTTAATAAAATTTCTGGATAAACCATTAACATGCAGGCTAAACCTGATAAATGCTGTAGCATAGAAAACAAAACTCCCAACATGTGTGCTTTTCTGCAACAGCACCTTTGAACTCTACACATCTGAACGTCGCTTTATCAAAGCTAATGGTAATACAACCCTGCAGAGCTATTCAAATGAACTTCGCCAGACTCAGTTTAGTGTCTAAATGGGATTGTTTCTGGAGTGTTAAGCCCTGTTGAGGTGTAAGAAGAGAGAGGTTATAGCAAACATAACCTTGCGCTTAAGCTATGCACCGTGACAGAGAAGCCGTGAGACCTTGACTGCCAACACCTGCCATTAGTCATCAGGTATTCGGAAACATTTTCATAAGCATGAGGCCCACTCAACAATGTTTCTCACAGACACACACACAGTCTTCCTCGTCTTCTGTTCCCTGTCCTGTCACACACACCTGTCAGCACATTTGGTTTAAAGACCAGTAAACTATGAGCGGAAATGGTACAAAAACAAACTTTAATTTCTTAGATTTCCTAAAGCTAAAACCGAAGGTGAAAAATACTGAAATAACCCAAACAAAAGCACTTTAAATGAACAGTCCACTTGTTTTGGAAATAGATTCATTTTACAAATCATCTAGAGTTAAACAGTTGAGTTTTACCATTTTTGAATCCGTTCGTCTGATTTTCAGGTCTGGCAGGAGCACTTTTAGCTTAGCTTAGCTTAGCATAATCACTGAATCGGATTACATAATTAATAGGTCCATTCTTAGCCATATTACAAAATACAAACTTATTATTATTATTTTGAAGAAAGATGCAAACGTTCTACATCAGATTCAATGATCTATGCTAAGCTAGTTGGCTGCCACCAGACCCAGAAATCGACTAAATGGTCAAACTCAACTGTTTTCAATTGTAGCGTTTCCTTAAATAGAGAGGCAAAACAAACATGAAGAAATCAAGTCAAACAAAAAGCGAAGCAACACAGCAGATTAGTGAGCTTAAAAAAATCCTGCTACTCACTTTCACTGGCGGTCTCATTATTGAAGTCCAAGGCCTCCACTATCAACGTGTAGGACCTCTGGAAGAGGAAAAACACACATGCGTTCAGCAATGAAACCAAAACACAGAAACATCAAAGATCATTTTACATCAACAGAGCTTTAGTCAGGGACGTCGACTCGTAACCAATAAACACCAATGACAAAATGTGGCCATGGGGACATGCTGAGAAATGAGCCGTGGAAGATCAGAGGAATAACTTAACCTTCACCCTATCTGATAGTAGTAGTAGTAGTAGTGCTCTCCTGAAACTTTGGACAGATGTAGAATGGTAATTTCACAATTCAGACCAGGGGAGACCTTTGTTTATCTTATCAAAAGGAGAAAAAAATCTGTCTGTCTGTCATTATGAGTCAATCTGGCCTGGTGAAAATCATAAGTAATATGCACAGCTGAGCATCATACTTGCATTATTTGAACTAATTTGTTCAATGAAACTTATTTGTGTGTACATAAAATTAAAGTTTTGCATAATTTGAGTTGTAACTGCTTTATAAAAGATTATAGTATATATTTTTATCATAATTTATTTGTGTAGTTTGTTTCTCGCAAGGAAAGCAGTTTACAAGTTAAAATCCACTTTGTAATGGTAATAAAAGTCACAATTAAAACACATACTGTAATTAAAAATTGGAAATAAAAAGCAAGTTATAAAAAAAAGCAACAAATTAAACACATTTAAGCTTTTTATTGTTCTCGAACAATGCAGGATTGAGCTGTTTTACTCTATTCAAAATAATAATACAATTTCCTGAAATGACAAAGTCAGACTTCTTTTACATGTGTGTGTTAATTATGTGTGAGGTTCTGTTGAATTACTGTTTTGTGTTTGTTAGTCTCATTGACAGTTATGTGGCATAAGTTCAGTGGTCACTGTAAGGACATTAAGTCCAGCATACTGCTAGTTTTATTATTCACAACAATATATAACGGAATATATCACTGACAATGGGAAATACACTGTTTGACGATGCTGAATTATTGTCATATTCGTATCCCTTATTGCTTGGCTTCACTCGAGGTTCAAGGTTTGGTGAGAATGTCTTAATTGTACTCCACTGTTAGGTGTTGTAATTACACAATTAAGCATTAACTAAAACATCTTCATTAAGTCATACAAAATATATGTTTCCAGGCCACTACTTTTAAAACTTGGCATCTGTGATACAGATATAGCACAACTCAACCAACCACCCAACTTACCTTCTCTGCACCTGCGATTTCCTATCTGAACCCTATACTGAGTTCTACAATTAATGCAAATACTAAAAATGGATGCTTTCTATAGTGAACAATAATGTAGTATTGATGATAATCTTTCCGGTGCTATTCGTCAATCAAAAGACATCTCAATGACAGTCACAGAGCCGCTAGGAGGCTGACCATGTGATTGATTAAATCCCATTTGTCGCTTAAGTTTTTGACTAAATGTCAGAATTCAAACTGTACTAGTTGACCAATGGGAATGCTAGTTGTTGGGTTTAACAGACCTCCTTAGTTCTGTTACGGTACATGTTTGGGAAAAAATGTTCAACAGAATGCCTTGCAGTAAGGGGCAGACATACTAATAAATTTCCACTATTCCCATTCAACATCATTACCTCACATATCTGACAGGAAGAGTTATGCGCAGGAGAATAAAATGGCAGGTTGAAAGTGGACTTTTTTCTTTGAAAAACCCACAAAAATCCCCTTTCACTTCTCGCTTTCAGGTCTTTTGTGTGCTGCGTTTTGTTCCTCTTTTTCCCCACGGAGAGGAATGTGGAGTGAGGATCTGAGGGAGTTGCGGGGGGTGGGCTGCTTTTAGCATGACTCCAATGCAGGCCGAGATCTCTGGAGGGCTTGGCTACATTTCAGCACTTCTGAAACGCTTTGTCTGACTTAAGGTCATCATGGCTCTCACCGGTATCAGGTAACAAGAGTCACGAAGAGAGAGAGAGACAGAGAGAGATCGCTCCGCCTGAGAGAATAAAATGAGTGTCCATATCTAGGTTTTAGTGTTAGAAGTTGAATGAAAAAAAGCAGAAGTATATGAGAGAAAACGAGTGGCTGTGCGAATGCTCCTGTGCCAGAACTGAAGCGTCTCTTTTCGGCACCTACTTGTCAGATTCACACACTCGTACTTTTGACGAGGCACCATGGAATTTCCAACATCACCCAAGCTCTCGCTGTCCATTTGTAGCAATGACAGTCTCTCTCTCTCTCTCTCTCTCTCTCTCTCTCTCTCATTCTCTCTCTCTCTCTCTCATTCTCTCTCTTTCTTTTGAGTCGCTCAAGCCAGACCATTCAAACCAACCTCTAACTGTAAAAAGAGCTAAAATAAGACTTGGTCATTCTGATCTCCATGACCTGAAGAATATCTTGACAACCACCTCGCAATACAAAGCAGCCCCTCGAGTGAAAAAATGTCAATCAAGTGTTGATCAAAATAACTAATTATTGTCCAATATTAAATTTAAATAATTTCTATTCCAATTTGTCAAAAAAAAAAAAAAAAAAAAAAAAAAGCCGCATTTAAATGAAAGCATAAAGTCTGAAATTATATATAATATTATTTAATTAAGAAGAAATGGACTCCATTTTTAACCAGGATGCAATGGCATTTTCATTTTCGACCGAAACAGAAACATGGCTGAAAATATGATCTGAAAACAGGTCTGCACTGCCCGGCAGTGTTCAGCACTCTGGTTTCACTGTAATTCCATCCATAATCCCTGCACGGATTGCAATTGCTTTCAAACCATATGCGGAAAGTGTTGCGCTATGAAACCCATTCATTTTTTTTTATTGTGTCATGGAAAGACAATGTTGTTGACAAACACAAAAGAAATACCAGAGCGCGCACCATGGTCAGTTTAAAATAGCTCAATATTCCACTCTGTGTATAAACTACTGAACCTACATACTTATCTATGAATGGACCACACGTGCTCACCAGAAAAGCAAAGTTCACTTAAATACTGTGCTAACAGGACATTTCTATGTAGCATATATTTTTTTGCTGCTCACAATAGCGCTACTGTGGCAACACTGGTAAACTATGGTAACATTGGTAAAATGATACCTCTCGACTAGTTTACTGTCAATAAAATGTGGTTATTTTATTGGCTTGTTTTTTTCCATTAAGTTTAGTTAAATTAAAGTTGTACAAAATTATGTTGTTTATTAAAATTGTTCATGATTATCCGTTTTTGTCCAACTGCCTCCAGAAATTTCAAGTTCAGTCCAGAATTTTAGTTGTGGTGCATTCCTATTCACCTTATTCTTTGCGTACAAACAGGCACAGCCATTTGAACCTTTTGGGCTTGAGACTTCCAGTATCATTACCTTCCGTTGATTTTTAGACATTAAAAACAGCTTGTTCTGCTGCTTGATGTTGCAAATTGATATTTTATTATTTTATTATTCTGCTTTGTCTATATAATCATGCAAATACTTGTTTGTAGAGCAATTAGTTTGACCGTTTTCTGGCACTTATTTTTCCTAGTCATTTCTCCCATAAGCAGCTGAATCAGAAGTTCTAAATCAATCGCAAAAACGAGCGCACTTATGCATTGAAGAATAAGGTAAATAATTTGGGCCAATAGCGTAAGCCAGAAAGGTATACAGTGGGGTTGTGCACAATATTGAATTAGACACATTTTAAAAGCTAACATTATTTAACTTTTTAACCACTGATCAATATGTGATACAGATCAATTTAACCCATTTCATGCAAAAAAAAACACTTGCATGAAAAAAAGGCATGATTCAACATCCAGGACATCCATCTGCATATATAGTAGCAGCAGTGCTTTAAATGAACTGAAATATACATCTTCTCTTACTGTGCAGAATATCCAAGCTCACTTACCAACTACTAAACCATCACACAGTGACTAACTGATACAGCTGTCATTGTTATGTGCAAATATCAGTTAATTTGATGCAATCTGTTCCTCTTCCGTAGAGGTTCACATTGTCCTTCCTCTCCTTGACCACACTTGAATGCATTATAGACACAAACATGCAGTTGAATCCCTATTGAAGTGATAAATCTCACTAGTGTATGTTCTGTATATCAAGCACATGGATCATTGATTTCAACCGCCCTGCACTTCCACAAACCACCTTTGATAGTGCCCGCTGCGGGATATAACAGACATGTCCAGACATGAGCCAGTAAATCTCCCATCACACCAGGGGCAACAGCGTAACTAAAAATGCTGATGGATTTAGTGTACAGTCATGCAGTTTGCAAATGTTTTATCAAAAACGACATAATTCAGCATAAACGTGCTAGACTAAGATGATTTACATACGCATTTGAATCTTCCATCTCTTGCATTTCATGGAAGGTCCACTAATAAAAGAAGTTAAACTTTTAAAAAGCTTAAAAGTCTTTCCAGGTTTTTATTCTTTGTAATTCAGTGCTCTGTCTCAAGTTTTAACCTCAAAAATCCATGCAACATGAATAGTTCCTTACATTGTATTAATGAAAATTGTTTTTGATCATTTCATGCATTCCTTGGGAACCAAACACCCATGACCTTGCCAAAGCAAGTGCTATTCTGTTTTTTCCCTTGAAAGAGTTTCATTCCATCTGTTTATTTTAAGAGCTGGCAAATACGAGACAAAATGGAAGTAATTAAGAAATAAACAGGCTAAATCAATGAAAAACAAACACATGTTTTTTCATTCAGAAGAGGCTTTAAGGGAACGACTTGCGCTGGAACTGGTTATCAACTCTGAACGCCTGTTGCCGCCAAGCAGGTTAATTTTTCCCATGCTTGTCATTGACCTCAGTGTCATCATTGAACTCTCACTATGCCCAGTACCAATCTCCCAAACTTTACATAGCATTTACCTTATCGCTCTAGGCCTACACAGACATCCGATAAGGTCTACACTCGCACTGAGCATTGATATGCGGCAGGTTCCACAAAGCGAGGCTCTTTAAATCATACGTTTTTTTTGCTTTTATCCCACCGCTTTGAGGTGGAACCCTGTCGATTGATGCCTCTGCTGGTAAAAGTGAGATTGCTAATAAGGAGAAGCTGACTTGAAGAATGACAAGCGGCCTTAACAATGGCTCCGGATGTACTCCGCCAGATTCTAATCAATCAGAGTCAACAGAGTTTACATTAGCAGCTTGGAAAACTAGATTATGACCAAGAAAGTAGACACCCTTTTTTTTGCCTTCCAGAAGGTGCAATCATAGAAGGGAAGCCTTTTTTTTCCTGGGAGATTCTTATCAGGAGTGGTGGCCGGAGATAAGAAGGGGCTCGCAGGGAAAGCTTTTGACAATCTTTCACTGCTCTCTCTGGTGTGGAAAATGAGACAGGCTTCTTCTGATAACAGGTCTGTCAGTCACCTGTGTGCATACAAGCGCTACTGGCAGCCATCTAATCTCCTGTCACTCACAAAGGTGATCCCGGTCAGAGACGGAGTAGAGAATCGGATCAAACGGCACATCAGCTGTCAGATAACCAGTCAAAAGATGAGTATTCAAAGCTTGTTTCTTGGTAACACATGGTGAATCTGAACCAATTCATGTTTGAGGGGATTGAGAAAGGTTTGCTAAACAGAACTTTAGAAGCACAGTACTGCACTACTTGACAATGGCCTAACAATGCCTCATTCAAGACTTTAACAAGAGGGAGAAAGAGACAAACGATGTATTTCCTTGTCCTACGGCTTGAGTAATTTGCACTTAAGTGCCACATCAGAAGGGACCACATAAAGCAAACATGTCATTATCCCCTTAGCTGCCCGTAGCTCTTTCCCTCAGGCTTTCGGACAGTTCACCTGCATATTTATTCCCACACCAATCCTCGGCCAGATTCTTTCCCACACTGCAAACCAATTTTTACTCATAAATTGCTAGTAAATGTCACAAATAATTACAAAGATTATCTTAAATTAAAGCTACATTTTAAAGCAGAGAGACTGAAGTGGTATTTTCTTCGCTGTACTCCAATATTCTTTGAAAAAATCATTTTACAGGCACAATGGCATAGGAGAAATGGAGGGAATGTGCTCAGAGAAGCAAAAGGAAGACGGTCCAAATCTGGTTTGGATTACTTTTGTATTTACTTTGAAAGAGACATGTATTAAATACATGCATAAATACTAGTTTGGCTTTTAGGAAAGGGAACGGGTTCACAGACCATTAAATCGAATGGAAGATGGGACAGGAAAAAAAGAATTATCCAATTTGTTGGTGAACCAGCTTTTTGGCTCATGCTGAGCAGACAGGCCCCAGGTGCATTCAGGGCCACGGGGCCAGAGAGCAGCGCTGTAATTTGCTGAAACGGCCAGTATGAGAAGTAAGGTCAGGGCTGGGGCGGGTTTGTCTAGGAGCCGATCTCATCACTGCTGAGTCGAACGCAGCTTCCTGTTGCTTGCCCTGGGCCGGCATTATTCCTGGACTGGCTCCATTATGCACAGTAATCCTCCCTGTAGCCAGTTTGGCCCAGCTATTGTCACCCCCTGTTTCATGTTCGCTGAAGCTGACTCTGTCTGGGTGGGCAATGCCTAAAACCCTCTCTCTCTCTCTCTTGCTCTCTTTGACTCTCTACATCCCTCTTTAAAAGCACAGGGCAAGCAAATGCAGTAAAAGGTGCTAAATAAATGGGTGGTATTCCTGTAAATGAAGGATTTAAAGTTTGGCGACGAGCTGTTGTGTCTGGGAACTTGCTGAGAGTAATTACCGAGGGTTGCCGAGTTAAAAGGTGCCATACCTAGTCTCCAGTCAGCCGTGACTGACACAAAGCCTAAACTTCAACTCTCCGCAGCTGCCAACTGAAAAAATAATTAACGACCGACTGAAGTGTCATATGTCACAATTTTGGATTTAATCATAATTTTGATGATTAAAAGCAGCCATGTTCAATATGGCTTGGCAGTGCCTATCACAAAAACAGCTGGAGAGTTTAACATGCTCACTGATCATCTAGTACTGGACAGGTGGACAGCTTACAGTTTAAACAGGGACACATTTCCTTTGTCAGACCGACAGTTTGTCCTTTGATATTTTTTTATCATTTTGACCTCGCTGAGAATGTGTCCACAATGACATCACCAAGCGAGCAGGTGCACAGGCGCTCACGCCAACAGAAAGTACGAAGGGTCTGTTCAGTGTCCCCACAGTCAAGAGCTCCTGAGAAATAAACACGAATACAGGGCTCCCACACTTCCCGAACAATGATTTTAAACAACTGCTCTATGAATTTGAATTTGCAAACACATTTGATGAAATTTTAATGTTTTCCAAAACCGTGGGAACCATGTGCAAGTCTTGCTAAGCTGTTTCTGAATGGGGAATCCCAAACAACTAGTTGATTGATAGCCCCAAAATAGCTCCAACTAAAGTATTGCTACCAAAATAAACAGTTTAACGTTACACTACACCAAGCTTTTGAACCTTTATGACCCCCAACCAGATTCTCAGCCAACCCTGTGACCCTCAGTATGAAAACCCCTCAATTTATTTAGTTTATAAAGCCAAAATGTGACCCTCATGTTGGCACGCTTCACACTGCATACTCCAATAAGGGATTCCATTACATTTACTGCAAATCACCTGCAGTTTAAACTTTCTTGATAACACAGTTTATAAAAGCACTTTAAAACCCAAGACTGCCATTTCAAGAGATCACGGTCAACTCATAAATTCTTTAGAGCTGCAAGACAAACATTGGTAAATCTGTCTCCTCTATAGAGCCTTAACTCAACGTGCTTCACACCAAACAAATCCTCTTTTATTTGCATTCTAATGCAATGACACAAATAATGAGGCGTAGGTGCAAGACGACTGTTATTTGACATTTATTTAGGAGGTTAGATGACAGCCAAAAAACATTTTTAGGAGCCACTGAATGAGGAGTGAATTTACTGCAGGAATAAAATGCTAATTACTACGTTTATAAATGCTTAGTGATAAAACTTCAACCCTTCCTCTGCAAACACACACACATAAAGCTACTGACGAAATGTAAGGAAGTTTGGCATCAGTGCGTTGTTGTTGTTTTGTTTACAGTGGTGCACACGATCAAAACTATCAGGTAACTCTATACACGTGGATCGAAATATTGCTAAAATGTATCATAAACGTTGCGTCATCATAACACAGCGTGACCTTGTTAAATATTTTCTAAAACAAGATGAGAATAAGAAGCAACATGTACTCACCGGCCACGCAAAACTGAAGGGTAAAACAATCCTTGACTTTTCACTGCGCGTTCCCTTGGTCGAAAATTTATTCCCACCGAGAACGGGCGTAGATCCAGTTCCGAAACTGCAAGCCCCAGCCGAGGAAACTCGCGATTGATATTCCTTTAGACAAACTTTAAAATATGTATCACATTCGTCCCGCGTGCATTTGCGATCCGCCGGGTTCCTCGCGCCGTCGCAGCACGCGCCGTTCTGCAGCTCGCCGTTCGCGTTCTGCATCGATAAGATTTCCAGCTCGAAGTGCCCCGATGCGTCAGACACCTGTTGAGCAGAACAAACTTTAAATCCTTGTGCAGAAAGATGAAATTACTCTCGTTATAGAGTGACAACAGTGTTGGAAATGCTCAGGCAATCTGTAAGTGTCAACATACAGAACTGTTTGTGTGAGGTACAAACAAGAGTTTTTCCTATAGCAGACATGCAACATGCTGTTTACAGAATATCTAACTTTTAAACAAATTACCCCAAACTATGTAATGACTTAAATCAAGACTCACCGTCGTCCGCAAGCATAACAAAAAGGCATGAAGGTAAAAAGCAGAAAATACTGAACTCCGTCGCAGAATCATGCCTTCTTGCTGGTGTTGCTTTGAGACTCAGAAGTTGTAGCCGCCTCACGGCTCTAATGTACTCCCCGATTGAACATGCACGGGTGGAGAACAACTTTTATTTCTTTCAGAAGACTATTTTCCAGTGTGTAGGAAACTGCCTCCTATTTTCCCAGCGTATCTGAAATTCTTATCTTTTTTGTTCTGCGTCTCTCTCTCAGCGGCGGGTATACATTACACAGAAGCCATGAGAGCGTTTGTCCGCGACTGACTGACTGCGCATTCAATACACCAAGTTCAGTTAATGGGGGTGGCGAACGCATGCGTAATTTTAATATTCAAAAGTTAAAGGGTGTGGTTTGTGCGGCAGCCCCGCCCGTGTCCCCCCAGTCCCACAAGATGACGGGTTCATCTGTGAGACTTACAGAGGACCAACCGCATGTTCTTACATCGCAAAAGATTAGTATTTTAAAGGGAAAGGAATGCAGGATGCTACAGTAATTAGCTAACCTCACCATATATGGTAGGACAATGTTTTAAATTACTTACTACAAGTAAACTACAAAAATATGGTCTGTAAAAACATGAAATATATAAATGTAGCATTAAAACATTTTACTGTGTCCTTGCTGCACGTTCCATGCATTTACTATAGTAATAACAACATCACATGCAAATGACTCATTACTTAAGTGTATTTACACTGTAACAAGAACATATTTAACCAGAACTGCCACATCCATCTATTTGATTTACTATCAGTTTACTCATGCCATATATGAAAATAAATAATATTTAAAATGCTTTAATTTGTATAAGATTGCACTATAAAATATTGCAAAACATTAAGATGAAATATCTATCTATCTATCTATCTATCTATCTATCTATCTATCTATCTATCTATCTATCTGTCTGTCTGTCTGTCTGTCTGTCTGTCTGTCTGTCTGTCTGTCTGTCTGTCTGTCTGTCTGTCTGTCTGTCTGTCCGTCCGTCCGTCCGTCCGTCCGTCCGTCCGTCCGTCCGTCCGTCCGTCCGTTCACCCATCTATTCGTCTATCCATCTACCTATCTATCCATCTATTATACATTGATCTATATACCATTCATCTTTCCGTCCGTTTATCCATTCATCCATCCATCCGTCTGTCTGTCTGTCTGTCTGTCTGTCTATTTATGTTTCTGTCTGTCTGTGTCTGTCTGTCCCTCCGTCGATTCATATCTATCTATCTATCTATCTATCTATCTATCTATCTATCTATCTATCTATCTATCTATCTATCTATCTATCTATCTATCTATCTATCTATCTATCTATCTATCTATCTATCTATCTATCTATCTATCTATCTATCTATCTATCTATCTATCTATCTATCTATTTATCTATCTATCTATCTATCTACTGTATCTATCTATCTATCTATCTATCTATCTATCTATCTATCTATCTATCTATCTATCTATCTATCTATCTATCTATCTATCTATCTATCTTTGATCAGCCTATTATTTTGTCTGTCCACAATTACAATAAACATATCAGCATCGTGTTTTATGTTTTATTTAGTCAGGCAATACACATGAATTCTTGTACAGTAAAACGATGTTAAAATAATATAAATCTATCGCATTCATCCCTCTCCATATATTTGTTCACTTGGATCAGTAACTTTGAGACAGCAATAACATTAAACATATCAACATCTAAAAATAATGCCTTGCAGATTGAGTTATTCAATTGTGGAAAGTAATTTAGGAACTAATACAATGTATCAGTGTTGTAGTATTGATACAAAAAGGGCCCTTCTTAATGCTGACATTTAGCATTTTATGAAAAAAACGTGCCTTGATCTGATGCCTCTGAGTTTTAGACATCCCTAAGGCCCTATAGTTGCGCATATAATACAGTAGTTATTTGCCCCAACTGCCCCTGCTGCCCTCTTGTGGGTATGGGGTAAATCTAAAAAAGCTGTTCTAATATAAAGGTTATATAAAAGCAAATCCAAACTTGAGTGTCTGCCAGATATACTCTACTCTTCCAGATATTTCTCTGACGTTATAGGTCATGCTACAGGTCACACCACAAACCTTAGTTCAAACAGTCAAACAGCATGAGACAGTGGATAATCAGTAACTAGTGGCTTATTTCGCCACATCATTTTACAACCGCTGTAGTATGTGAAACAGCCAGGATTGTGGTATGAAATCGTCTGATAAGCAACCTCAGTTGGAGAAGTGCATTTCTACATGTCAGTCAAAGTGCTCTTTAGTCACAGCTTTGGGAGTCTTTAAATCTTGATGTTGAAAGATGGGTAAGGGCCTCTGTTTACATGCATGTCTGTGTTAAGAAGTACTGTACACTTTCAGAAATAAAGGTATGAAAGCTGTCACTGGGGAAGTACCTTTTTAAAAGGTAAATATTTGTACCTAAAGGCCTTCTAACTTATTTGCATATTAGTATTTTAAAGCAAAATTTTAGGAACTAATACAGTATGTAGATTTATGGTATCTATGTAACTGTAACTGCACTGTCAAAAAAACACATTATTTTACCACTAATTTAACACTGTAAATTAACCACCATTAAATTATAGACATTTACCATAAAATAATAGATGGTAAATTACAGAAAACAATCGTAAATTTAAGGAAACTTCTGTAATTTAACATCCGTTATTTCAGTTTTTTTTTTTTCTTTCACTTTTTATTGTGATATGATCGGCATACGACCTCGAGCTGAAAATCGAACTTGGGTCGTCGTGTGCACCATGGTGCTATATGTCGGCACACTTAACTACTAGGCTATGAGCGCCGACCTGTCTGTTATTTTACAGTAAATGTCTAATTTAACGGACGATATTTTACTTTTTTTTTTCTGGCACCTCGCCCCAAATATCTGATTTTTTTACAGTGTACCTAAATAGAAAGGTACCGTTTTTACCCATACCTGCCAACACTCCCATTTTTCCCAGGAGTATCCCGAATTTCAGACCCATCTCCCGCCACCCTACCATTTTGTTATTTCGCCCAGAAAACTCCCGTAATTTCACTCCTTAAGAATATTTCACCCGTTATATTTTAGTATGATTCATCCCCAATGAGGTGTATGGTTAGGGGGGAGTTTGAGAGCACACCTCCTATTAAATATCATACATTTTCATTCGAATTAAATCATATGAATTTATACAAATTAGCCACTTTTCTGACAATACGAACATTTCATGCGCATGGCTTTGCTGGCAGGGATCGATGGTGCTGTGTACTGGATTGCTCACCCAATATTTACTTATCTACTGTAATTTATATAGTTTATAATAATACTATTTAACAGTATTTTAACTTTAGGAAACCTACATTATTATTTTTTAAAATAAAATATTGTGATTTCTTGATTAAATATAGCAAAAGTAGAGTCACTCCTTCAATATTATCCAGTCAGAGGAAACCAACAGTAAACGATTCACTAAATTTATAAACTGAATCAGGAAAAGCTGTATTGGAAAGAATTGTTGGTATTTATTCCTTTCAGTGCAGAAAAAAAACTTCAAATGGTTTACTTCATGGTCTACTTTAAGTTGAGATTTTTATTTGATATATCCTTTTACCTCTTCACCTTTATATTGCAATGACAGCAAAATCACATCCCTTAATAGTGTGTGTGGCCACATAAAGGAGATCTATAGCAAGTTGAGGGCAAGATGCCAGGCTGATATTTCCTGTCGGTGAGGTTCAAGATTAAAGGTGCTCTGGACCTTTTGTACCGACCACTGTGCCTTTAAAAGATTGTGACCCCCGAGAGAGGTCTCAGGTTTCTCACTGCATTCAAATAGCCACTCTGTGTAATAAGGGTTAATTAGACTATTTAGACCTCAAAACTTGAGCGCTTTCCTCTCAAAGGGTTTCACCCATTTTGATATCCGCATTCACATTTCATTTGGGATGCCAAAGCCTTGCTTTTGAAAGTCAGACAGGTTTGTTGGATTTAAGCGAATGCTTTTGTTAGAGAATCTTGACGTGCCACTTTTAAGATGGTGCTAGTTTAAAAGCGACTATGGATTAGTGAGATTAGTCCTATATTATAGAGAATATCATGTTCACTCTGTTATTGCAACATCCAAAGTTGTTGAAGGTGAAGGTCGGGAGTTCAGAATCTTGATTTGAAGCATGTAATTTGAAGATTTTTTTTTAATGATACAAAACCTGGAAAATGTTTTTGCATTATATCCTGGTAAAATTGTGCACATGATCTAAGAATGTTATAATGCTGAGCAAAATTGAGTACAGCCCATTTTGAAAGTGACTATTTTTTCATCTATTTCTCAGTGAATATAGGCAATGTATTTTGGTGCATTTAAACAAAACAAATTTATTATATATAAATATATAATAAGATATATTTATTAAAATAATATTTTAGTCACCAAAATTTAGAAATTGAAAGACAATTATTTATTGCAATAATAAATATTGCAAAATATTATTATTATTATTATTATTATTATTATTATTATTATTATTATTATTATTATTATTATTATTAATAATAATAATAATAATAATAATTACAACTTACAAAATCTTTCTTTCTTTCTTTCTTTTTTTTTTTTTTTGCTTTTTAATGAAAAGTTTTTGAAACATTATATGGCTTTAATTATTTGTGATTCTTCATTATTTATAATGGGTAACCACATAAAATGTCATAATAATATCACATTTAAAAATACAATTTTTATACATCTTTTTTATTTCACTTTATAAAATGACCTAATATTCTATCAGGTGTATTCTTTAAAAAGAGAACAAAATTAAGTACAAAAGCATAAAAAAGTAAATACCTATTTAGATCTATTCTCAAAATTTTTTTTATTGTTGTTATAGTTTATTCTAATTTAACCTAATTTATTAATGGATTGCAACTGCTGAATAAAAATTATTTAGTACAAAAAAAAAAAAAAGCTAAAAAGATATTAACTTGTTATTTTGGGCATTTACACCTACCTTACTTTAAATAGTAACAGTTCTTGACCCCAGTGAGCTATATGAATTAATGAGAAAGAAAAATTGTATTGTGTTTATGTTTTTTTTTTCATATACAAACAAAGGAAAACATTCATGTAATAGTTTTGAAAAAATATACCTTTAATGCCAAGTGTGTCAGGAGTTTATATTTTAAATTTGATAACGATAGCAGTTTTTTCCGCAATATCGGAGGCCTTCTTTTCCTCATCGTCAGAGGCATTTTCTCAAAAATGACCTTTCCAAACTAAAATAGTTGCTGAATA